AACACACTAACTTTCACGGACAAACAAAATTCACTAAGCCCCTATGGAAACGTATTAAAATAACTTTCCACTCGTACGTGGTAAGGTCGTGCAACTAGCTCAAATCCGCGGAGAAATTGGTGTTAGCCTGCACGCGTTTGGAAAATAGTTTTTTTTCAGTCATTCTATTTTTAAGTTAGAGATACAAGAAAACACTCAGTGACTCGCACTACGGGACACAGTGCGTTTTGTTTCCCCTCTGTGCTGAATGGAAAGAAAACTCATTGTTCCGCCGGGGGTCGTCGTTCAGTCCTTATTATATTGAACGTGACAGGTGTTGGTATCGAAATAAACCCTATTAGCAGGGTAGCTAGAGGAAAACAAGATGAAAAAATATTTAGAGCATCAAAACAAATTTATATTTCTTATCCTGTCATCCTTCAATTTGATATTACTTACACAGATCAGAAAAAGAAACATATAAATGCGTGTACAGTAGAGCAGATCTACCTGCAAATCGTGACTCGTATATGTATGAGTTACTGGGTGGGAAGAAATGCTTTCAGTTTGCCCTTCTGAAAAGAAAACACTTCCCGCAGCTCTATTTTAATAGACTAATAGAACTTTGAGTGTTTATTTATATGTCCTGACATTAGTTGAAGTTTCCCTCTGTGCCTGAGTAACCACCCCCCTACGGTTTGCTTGACCATTAACAATAAACCGACCGGAGTCAGCACCTTATTTTAATAGAAGGCATGTTATATGAAGGAGTTCTCAAGCTGTTGCTATTCAGTTATTTTTGGTGTTTTTTCAAGTTCATTCATAAATTATGAAGAGGTGATTAAACAATTAATATTTTGCAATAAATATGGGAAGAGTGGAAAGAAACTGAGTCGTTTCAAGGTGTAGGCAAGTTTTTCGATTTGGCGAAAACTGCCTAATTTACACTTCAAAAGAAGATTATTTCTTAACTTTGTCTAAAAAGGATATAAATCTTGGATATTTCCGCTCCGATAACACATTTGAATAAGAAGTATATAAAAAGGACCTTAAACAGAAGAAAAGTGGAGAAAAAGTCGGAAAGTGAAGGTAAGTGTGAGTGAGGAGCTCGCTATATTTACTTAATATCGAGTGAGTACCTTGTGCGAGCCAGTGGACAAGTTTTAGCCACAAGCAGCGGAAGATCCCCTTTCATGACTCGATAGTTTAAAACTCCCTTGTATTCTTTCGCCAAGTTTAGACAAAAGATTGTGAACAAAACCTTAAATTTATAAACTATTTGTCGCATTAAAAAAGGAAAAAGGGCGACATCTGTCAACGTTTTTCTTTTTTTTTTTTTTTTCACAACTTACAGGATGAAAGGGAATCTTGTTGGTTTCCTGTTCTGTCCTTGTCTGTTGAGTGGTGTTGCTGTAGTACTGGTGACAGTCAGTTCATCTCAGCAAACTGACCTGAAAAAGGAAGAAGTTTTCGAGAGAGTGGAAGGTAATGCGAGAATGATACCTTCCAACACAAATTTTTTTTTTCTCGACGAGTTGTGAACGTGTTAGGCGAAAACTCACTTTATTCATGGTGCGAACTTAACAAAGGCCCACCGTCATAAAAGAGAGGTCGGTGCTGCTTAGCTCACGAATCTAGTGTTCTAAAGCTCAGTTGGTGGAAGATCTAGTAGCGAGATCAGGAGGTCTTTGTCCAATGATCGTGCTACTTGTAAATGTCTTTCTTTACAGGAGGAGGTCTATGTAAGGGTGTGCTATTTCATTCGTACTTTGCCGTTTCATTTATCGATATTTTCTGTGTTCCTTATTGATCCAGACTTTAGGCTTGTGGGACATGTCTTTAAAACTTTTATCGCTAACGAGTTCCAATGTGGATTACGAAGCGTAAGAGACGGGAAATGTTGGTCATACAATCATAATGGGGATAAATCTTGTGAAATGAATGACCAAACATGGCGTCTTAACCCGGTGGCCCTAATACCAGCCAATGGATTCACCTATTATGAAAGAGGTAGGAATGAATCTGTACCCCGATGGCATTAAGTTTTCACCATTTCGTTCCTAAGTTTGAAAAATTCTTCTTATTCCGTTTGTAAGCAAGTCACTCGATAGTTGTTTAATAATTTCTGGTTTCTTCTTTATCATCCTCGATGCTCTCACCTTGCGACTCGTACATCAATATTTTTTTGCTGCTTTAATCTCTCGTTTTGCAGTTGTCGTTCATGGGTTTTCGTTTCTTCCGACTTGCACTGCGAAAAGAGTGTAGCGAGGCTTCACGTTCTGACTCGTTTCTTGTCAGTTACTCTCGTGCGGTAACTTGATGGTGGAAATGAGTTTCTGATTTAAATTTCTGTCTTTTCGTACCTTGTTTCTTTTCATTCCTTCCTCGATTCACAGTTTACAAATACGGCTGACAAAATCTTTCTTTCCTCTCCTCATAACTTCTCTTTCCGTTCCAGTGACGAGACACAGCATTTGAAGATTAACACAACTTTTCCAAAATTATTTTTAATCCATTTCTTTCCAGAGGGACGAGGATTTCACCCATCAAAACCCGGACGCTCTTGCATGGACTTAAGAAGTGAACATCCCTTGCTGAATGGAGAGTACTGGATAGACCCAGAGGGTAACAGAAACCCCATGAAAGTCTACTGTGATATGACAACTGACGGAGGTAATAAAATATTAGATCTTCTTTTTTTTGTTTTTTGTTTTTTTTAATATACAATGGTGTCCTGTAATCTTGGACTTTTTGATAAAAGTACGTACATAAAATGCATGAATATCCACTAACAACCCTCGGCAATAACAGATGCTTCCTATGTGTAAAAATTCTTCTCGTGTTGCTAAAAAATGAGCGTCTCCATCTGTTTAAAGTTAAATTTCCTTTTCAGGGCCAAATAAACATCATGTTGAAAGCAAAAAGATGACATTTCCTAAGTTTAGAAACAGGTTCTGAGAAAGCATGAAAAATTGAGATATGTTATCATTTTTCACTGTGCCCATGTTGTATTTTAAACTGCTGATATTTTTAGGGGGATGGCTTCTTATATTCCATATCGGGTTCAACAACGAAGCTAGCTTGTCAGTTAAGAAGGATTATGAGTCTGATTCTGGTTTTGTTTTAGGAGGCTGGCTTCTTGTTGCAAACTTAGTAACGGATGGCTCCACTCCACCCCCCACTTGGACCGCTGAGTCATCATACCGCGGAATCAGCAACTTTACCAACAACAAAATGGGTATCACAACGAGTGCCATGAAAGAACTTAGAACACACCTCTCTTTCACTCAGCTGAGATTCCACCGCAGCAAACAAAAGGGACGTACCTTCCATGTGACTACGGCTGCCAACGCCTCTGGTGAAGCTGTGGTCCAGTACTTCAGCGGCCAGACAGACGTGCTTCCCGTCTCATGCAGGTCTTTTCAAAGAATGGAAGGTGACAACTCTAAGTTGGCCATTGGGTGCGAGGACTGGGGAAAAGAAAACGGAAAGCTAAATGTGGGAAAATGGGGAAATTCTTATATTAAAGGAGAGGATATATTGTATGATCACGCTGCATTTGTTTCGGGGAAGTATCACTGGTTATTTCATGACAACTACTGGTATTGTGATGATATGACAAACGACGCCAACCCGACGACAGGAGATTTTTGGAATATCTACGTACGTTAGATAAATAGAAAAAAAATTGGAAAATGTTTCGATCGAGTGCTGAAGCAATGTTAAAATGCAAGGCTTTTCATTACAATTTATCGTAGACGTGGTGAAATCTCAATTATCACTCGGAGGCGAAAGTAATTAAGCGAATCTCGACTATTTTACTATTTTTCCCTACCTTTAGGCCAGTTTCATGCATTCATTTCGAGTTTAGACTGTTTTACTTTTGAGCATTTTCTTGGCTCTGATTGTTTGTTTTCCATGACTTTGGCTTTGGCTCTACCACAATTAATTGAAAATTGCTTTAGAACTGGGAATATGTTTCTTGTGTCTGTTTACAAATGTATTTGTTTCCACTAATAGCCTAGACTTTGCGAAATTTATGTAGCAAACGTAGGGAAAGCTAAACGTTTCCATGATGGGACGGAAAACGCGTGCACTGTAAGTACCTCCAGTTGTCCCATACAAAGCCTTAGAAAACTTTTCTAAGGCTTTGTATTGGACAACGAGAGGTACTTACAGTGCACGCATTTTCCGTTCTGTCATGTTAAATTTCCTCAAAGGTTTCTCGCAGAAACGTCAAAAGTTGCGCATGCTCAGATTTCCCAAAAGACTTGGTATTCACTACACGTTCCTTATTTAGAATAAAGGGACGTGTTTTAAACACCAATCAAACGCTCTCTTATCGTGCCTGATGTATGACGTTTACATAGCTTCGTATCTTGCTATTAGGGGTCATTTTAAGATATAGGTATGTAGAGTTTACGCAGTTTATACTAGTATACAAGAAACTATGGACAGTCTATTTAGAACTTAAGTCACTTTGAAAATAGCTCGCTAAGGTTATCATGACAATGTAAGACCTGTCCTAAAGTGATTCAACGTGATGTAACATGATTCCTTAAATGGCCGTAACGATGACGTATAGAATTTTACTCACTGATTGTTCCCCTTAAAATAATTGGCATAGCGGGTTGAGTGCTAATGTAGATTTAGAGATAAGTCAAGTATCTCTACGATAACTAAAGTTCCATAAAAGATAAAGTTGTGTTGAAGAAGTAAATTACTTTATCATGTTCACACAAAATTCCCTTCGCCTCGATTAACTTTGAGCAATTGATAGAAGGACTTTCACCAGGCATGTACGTTGGCAGCGAAAGTTATATGATCATCTCTTGTACACATTTAAGATGGTTTTTGGAAAATGCCCAAATAATTAGGAAAAAAATAAGCTCTTAAAAAAAAAAACTCATTTGCTGTTTGAGACATCAAAAACAAATCTCCTTTTGCAATTCTGTTGTTGCTAAAACGCGGACTCCTTTTATGATGCCAAAATTATCGTTTAAACAATCCTCTCAAATTCACCGCTCTTAATAAATAATTTGTGTCACAAGTAAATTAAATGCAATCTTGGCTTTGCATTTCGCTTTTTATTCCTTGAGAGATAGTGATTCACATGGGTAGCCTAGTAGTGCGACCTTTAGGGGTATAGCAAACTGCCTCCTGACATTCTTGTACCCAGTTTATCTGAATGATAATGTTCAAGAATCTAAGTACAAAAATATAGTTAATCCAAGCCAACCTAAGTGAGCCGGGCCATGTCAAAAGGTAGTTATATAGTTAAACAACCCGTCTTGTAGTCGAGTTTGGAACGACCAGATTCATAATAAAACAGTGAGATTATTCGCTCTCGATATGCGCGATAGCTGATAGAGCTTTGTCCTCATTAACTATATGGCGGTAGAGATATCGAGCGCATAATCTTATTAAGTATAGTAGTTTATCTGGTCTGTTATCTACCAGGTTACTCCTTGCATGGTTACGTGATCGACGTTTACGGAATGGATGATTTGGAGTGCGGATTGCAGTGAAATGACCTATGTTGATTGTACAACTCCTTTCCTGCTGAGAGCTATAACCTCAACTGCAAACAGTTTGCCGATCAAATAACGAAATAAGGCAGTCTAAACTACAGGACCTCATGGAAAACCCGAGAGTAACCTACTTTGAGCCAACAGAGGTTGCCTCTTTTTTGTCACAATATTCTGTTTCTTAAATACTAAACTCGTTGGGACAGAATAGTATTCAAACGTTCTTTTAGCCATCCATAAGTCGTTTTTCCAAAAATGCCACCTTATGAACAGAGTTGGACTTCCACCGAAGCGACCTCTACTTTCCAGCTTGCAAGCAAGATGTGCGTGGGCTCATGCATTGAGCTGAACAGTTCAATTTCTGGACGATTTCTCGGATGAATGGATGCGTGCCTCCTATTTGTGGGGAAGGAATTAATAAGATTCCAAAATCTTGAACAGTGCTTGAAGTCTGAATTTCATAAATTTCGATCTGATCAGCGTGATATTTTTTGTTATGTCCTTCACTTTGGAAATTTGTTTATATATCCACTTTCTTGTTTCAATAGAGCGTCGTCATCGTATAACACACCTAAGTAGGTAGATGTTTCGTTAGTTTTAACTTTAATTGAAGTAATACAATTTAGTTATCGAACCGCAAAATACGAGGGTTATTTAATGCTGAATTATTAATTGAGGCAATCGTGACCTAATAGAATTTCAAAGTTTTACTGACCTTAACCTCATCAATACCAAAATAAAAGTGGAGAAAGCATTTCTCAAAAGAAATCCAAGGCAAATTATGTCGTCCCTCCCACGTATACATTTCTTCGTCAGGTACCTGTCTGAAAACGTTAATTGGCCACAGTGGAGCAGTCACAGCAGTGCACTTCAACAGGGATGGGACCCTTGTCATCTCTTGTAGCTACGCTGGCAAATACTGTGTATGGGATGTATTGTCTGGCTGCTGTTTGAAATCCATCTCAGCTAGCCAGCAGTCACATTTGCCCATATCTCATGCTACAATGTCAGCTAATGGCAAATTTCTGTTGATATCAAACTCTTGATAGCATCTTAACATTGTGGGATTACAAGATTGGACAAGGAAGAATTCTCAAAACCTATCAAGGTCATTCTAAGTTTTGAAGCTGTGATCAGCTCTTCATAGTATTTTTTTAAACCCTTTGACCCCCTAAGAGTGACTAGTATCTAATTTCTCCTTACAATATCACCCCTGAATCACACAGTAAGGTCAGGAGAATAAAGGAAATGATCACCAACTAAAGATTAGCTCTTGATTGTTAAACAAATCCTCCTGGTCAACACATAAGGAGATTGTATGGAGAAGGAAGTTCTTCAAGGCACACTCTGCTGACCCCGATTGCCCGCTAAGCAAAATTATTCCAAAGAAAAAAAAAAAAGACAAAATACAACCTCAGAAACAGAACTGACCATTATCCTGGAATAAATTCGGAAAGGTTTAAGAATGTGTTGGTAAATAGGCGAGTTTTTAAATATAATAAATAATTTAGATTGTCTAGTTATTTTTAATGATTCTTAGATAATCTTTTGCATATTTTTTTTGGTGACTCTTTTTAATATTTTAACTTGAGATAAATTATGTACTTTTATCTTGTGAGAATAAAGACTATTATTTATTATTATTATTATTATGGAGAATATCCATATTGATGTTAGGGTATTTTAAAAAGGGTTAACATGTACATTAAGCAGTGATCTCAAGAATTTGGCAATCAGAGAGGGCCCATAGTGTTCTGTTCCTCCAACTTATCTCCCTCTTTGATACTTGTTTTCCCCGCAATACCCCTATCCAGAGCCTACTCACATATCACTATAATGTCCCATTGTTAAATGTTTATCAGGTTATTGTAGTACTTGTTTGATTTATACTCCATGAGTAATTATCCCTATCTCGCCACTGCAGCAATTAAGGTACATTGTTTTAATCTCATTTAAACTATTCTCAGCCTTACCTGAGAAAATGTTTTGTCCCAAGTGAACACACTACCTGCACATTCCCAAATTATTTAATACTACATTCATCTATTAACAGGACATCTAAACAAGGACTACTGTGTAATAAGCTGTTTCAGCACAGTGAATGGCAAGTGGGTGATATCTAGATCAGCAGATAATCACCTGTACATCTGGGAACTAAACTCTTGTCAAATGGTGGGAAAGCTAAGAGGACACACACAGCCTGTATTAAGCTGTGATGCTCATCCATCAGACCAAGTTATTGTATCAGGATCTCTTGCTAAGAGCATCAAGTTATGGAGGTGGTCTTCAGTTGAGCCAGGCACACTTTGATTTCCTTTCCTCCCACGTCCTGGCATGAACATTTTAGCATTGCATGGCATTACTGGTATCACTGAGAAACATAGGTAGGCCCCTCATACCTGAAAAGGACCCTGCATTTGTCATAGGCAGAGTCAATATATTACCTCAGTAAGTCTGTAAATTTACATTTTATATCAAGCATACAAGGAAACAAACAAGCAATAATGATGAGGCAGGCTAAAAACCACCCTGCGGTAAACAACACCTTGGGGAATAAATCTTTGACAAAATGCAGAAAACAAAGCTTAAACAACTTCCTGTTTCTCAAACTTTATTTGTAACTTTACCATGATGGTGTAAATACACGACTGTACACTGACTTCTTCAATCCATAATTATAATTTATTAAACATAATTCCATAGGCATTTCCCTCTGCAAATATGCAGGCTACATGTATTTATATTTTTCTCTTCCACCCTGACAAGCAAACTCAGTCAAAAAAGTGACAATACCATTTGGTATGCACCTGAATTTCCTCATCATAAACAAACTAAGATTCTACATGACTATTGTACATCTTGTAGAGAAAAACTTCTCATAATAAGTGTTTTTCAAATAATCTTCTCATTTCTTCTTTGTCCAAATATACTGAACTAGAATTTGACAGGTTAAAACCTTATCTCTCCAAAGGAAAAAAATGATTTGTTGGTATGTTCACTGACTTAATAAGTGCATGCAACTAACAAGATTATCATATACAGTACCTTCCACAAAAAAATCAGTCTGAATAAGGCAATTGAGTAACTCATACTTTTTTAAAAGCTGGTTGTAATCATTATGATAACGGTTGAGGGACCTGACTCATAGTTTTCTGCATCCTGAAATATTTAGCATACCTCTTAACTACCATTTGGGATCTTTAATGATATTCCCCATCATTAACCATCTTCATTCCTTCTTGAATTAGCTTTGCCTAGTTGACAATACGTATTATTCTGTACTAGTCCCATAAAGGTGAAGGTAGCTTTGCAGACACACAAAAAGAAAAAGACTCAAAATACTGTAATATGTAGCTCGTTAAGGATATAGAGATGACAAAGAGATATCAGTTGCCCTACTGTTCCCTGTGTAAGTGCGCTTTTTTTATCCTCACTATCATCATTTTGTCTGATGGAATAAAGTTGAAATTTACTTGAGTGGGTTTCCCAGTGCTCCTCTTGTTAAATCAACCTCAATAGGGAAAACGTTGGCATCCTTCAACACTGAATAACAGTTCTCATGATATTCTGTAACTGCTGCAACAAACCGCTGTAGTTGAAAAACAATGTCTTGTACTGTGGAGATGACAAAAGAGCAAAAAATGTGAAAAAAGGGAATTATGTCTGACTAAATTGGCAGTGTGTCATCTTGGATAGTTAATGTGGGAGAGATAATGGCCTTGGTGACTATAATGCAGAATTCAGGATTGTTTTAATTTCTTTGTTCATATGAAGAGACACATTAAATAATGATGTGGACCAGAGACAGAATTTTATATGGAGAGCAAATTTTTGAGGATTTTTGTGCAAGCTGGCATTATTGCATTGCCACTTTGTGATGTTTTGGCCAATTATTTGTTGGAGAGTTTTTTGGAACTTCTAGTCTTATGAAGGTAATACTAATTATAGAGAATTCCAAATTCTGATCTAAGTTCCTTTGTGTTGAAAAAAAGACCCCAATCTTTCCCTAGAGTAATGCAAAAGTTACATAGTGCATACAGAGAAATTCTAATGTATGAAGACTCACCATGTTTTTGGTCAAGAAGTTCAAGTTTCACTAGAACATCTGATCGTAGTTTTGCAAATCTCTCCCTGGCTAACTGACGACACCGCAATACCACCCTATATCACACCCATGAAAAAAAATTACATTCCTCAGACGTGCACTTAGAAATGCTTAAACCATTAACCAATGAACCATGCAAGCGAAAAACCACAGTTGCACAAGAACACATTTCAAGAGGGAGTTTGAATAGCAAGACATGTACACACCTGTAATCATAGTTTCCAGTCTCTACTCTGTAAAGCGATTCATGCAATGCCTGTAGAAAATAGTGATTACAGAAGTATTTAGTGTCAATCACAGACAACTATGAAAGCACATACCATATGGTAGGAAAGATAACAACGAATCAATCTTTCTAAAGCATTGACTGACAAATATCAGCCATTGACGACTGATTCTAAAACAACAAAAGGAACAGGAGACAAGTGCAAAACTTACCGCATAAGCATACTCTTCATCATCCATCTCCTTTACTTTCAAGCAGTATGACTGCAAAACAATAGAGCATGATAAAACATCAGTGATCAGAATATCGTGGATTCTTGGGGTGAAATGAGCATTGTCCACTCGGTTTAAGTGGAATGCTGTACATTATTGCATCAAATTTTAAACTGCACTTAACTTACCAGATATTCAAATTTAGCATCGGCATATTTCTTGATAGTCAATTTGGTATCTGGAATAGCCTGTGAAAGGAAAGGTATAACTATCATTCGATGGTGTTTATATTTCTGGCAAAAAATAAAACATTGAAAGCTAATTTGTCAAAAATCTATAATGAACGGTTTAAATTGTTTCAATCAAATGTACCTTAGAAAGATAAGTGTTCAAATCACTCAACATGGGTTTGACTTTCTTCAAATAATCCATTCCTAGCTTCTCAAAGTTTCTGAAAAATAAAAAAATTAAAAAAAAACAAGATTTAACAACCCAATGATGAGTTTGCATTTATAAGTTCTGCAGGGCAAACTCCTCCAAAAACAGCCATGAACCCGATGTCTTCTTTGGTTCAAATGAATAAATCTCAGTAATCTTAAATATGATGAATTTTTTTCTAGCTTATACATATCTGTTTGATGCCAGTCTTGTTACCTGTGAGCCTCACTAAAAATTGCAAATGCCTCACTCGCATTTGGCTGCAATTCTCTTACACCAATGGAAGCAAATATTTCTCCAAGTTCTACAAAAGAAAACCAATTCAATTTTAAGCTGTTAATCATTGATAGTAATCAATGACTTAAAGTTAAAAGTTATAAATTGGAATGGATATTTTTGTCTCAAGACCCAAAAATGTCAACCTTCAAGTCTGTATTATCCAACTAGCTAGTTCTGCCAAATTACACCACCAAATTCTAAAGGATTCTCTTTATTTTCATATTGTAGTTTGTGAGGAATGTTTTTTGGGAAAAAAGGAAAAAGTCCAGGTGACAACCTGAAAAGGTAATAACTGCACTCAGTAATCAATGAATTTTAATAACTACCAGTAACCAGTAATAAACAAACTCATGATCATGACCTAAAAGTTACCCACAATACCTTTTGGGGTTGTTACACGCACTTACATGCTTTTTTTTCTGACAACATTTCTTGAAACAGTTGTCTACCCACAATATAAAGTGCACCACACTAACTAGTAGTTAATCATGAAATTCCATGTTCTGAATTCAGTAAACAAATAAACTAACTCCATGTAAGAAAATGATAGGAGGCGCAGTGGCCTCATGGTTAGTGTGCTCAACCCCAGATATAAAGGTCCGGATTTGAGCCCTGGCCAGGGACATTGTGTTGTGTTCTTAGGCAAGACACTTTACTCTCACAGTGCCTCTCTTCACCCATGTGTAAATGGGTACTGGTGAATTTAATGCTGGGGGTAAGCCTTTAATGGACTAGCATTACATCCAGGAGGGAGGAGAAATACTCCTAAATCGCTTCATGCCATGGAAACCAGATTTAAGGGCCAGCCCAATGGGCCACTTGGCTCATAAATGGGCTTTACCCTATGTATGAAAAAGTGACTGTCAATACCTTTATGTGTTTGAGCTAAGTTATAAAAGCTTTGTAGAAACTGTCTGGCATGATCAAGAAGACCTGAAAAAGAGATCTATGGATTAGAATTTTTTTCCTCAGTTTTGAGAACCTTGGAACAAACAACTGAGGAGAATGTCAAAAATTACAAAAACAAAATAATACCCTTGTAGATATTGGAGTTTTGCTCCAGTTCCTCCATTTTTTTAACCAGTCCATCTGAAGAGAAACAATGCAGTAAATGTTTCAGTGAGACATGAATCATCATGAATTCAAGAGACTTAAATGCAAAGTGGAATATGTATCTGCATGTAAAGTAGCTGTACCATTCTTCATTCAAAGAAGATGTAACTGGCCAGACCTAACTTATAACCTTTCTTAACGTATAAAAATAACAGTTTCCTGTCACAGACACATAAAATGGCAAAAAGGCAGGCAGACAGACATTGACACATTGAAGTTACAGGTCGGAGTTTCTGTCTTCTCCCACTTACCATTACAGAGAATTGCTCTGCTGAGACCCAAAGCATCTGCAGTTGATGAACTCATGTGTTCTACTATGCGATGTTTCATTTTCTTTAATACTGTGCAATAAAAAACGAAAACAAGTTAGTGAACATGGGTGAATCTGTCTCTTAACTGATATGACTAAAGGGTACGGAGTAAATAACCCTTACGTAAATCAAATTTTCCCTATGTTTTTCAAGGAAATACAAGAAAGTTTGGGAGAAAATTTCAGCAGTCTATCAGGTCCTTAAAAAAATCCCTTCAATCGCGAACTTCCAATGCCTTTTTCAAAAAAGCATCACATTGATAAAAAGGTATTAAATAAATACACAAATAAATATATAAATCATACATGTACCATATCAGTCAGATAAATGTATCATTAAATTACTTTATATATCAGAGTTTTTGCTCTTTTCACTCACTAATATCCAGAGTTTTTCCTTCTGTTGGTTCAGCATGTAGCTTGACATAGTTTATGGTAACTTCTTCCTAATTTGAGAAGATAGAAGGGTAGTATTCAGTGACAAAATTTGTAGCTTGAACTAAAAATAATCTTGAATACTGTAATAAATTTTATGATTTTTTAAGCTGTCATGTATGTTTTCTTCATACATCTGAGGCATACATCAATAAAACAATACAGTCTACTGTACAAAAAGTTAGTCAAGTTGGGTGTTAACTCGATGTCATAAATATTAAGTCTAACATGATTCTAAATCATTTAACACAGTATAAGTGCAAACAAAAAATTACCTATTGAAAATAAATAATTATACTGTGAGTCTTAAAAAAAAAGAAAGAAAAAGTAATGTTAAAAAAAAGAAAAACAGTGGAAATCAAGTAATCTTACTGTATATTTGACCCTACAACTCCCAAGACCCAAATATCAATTCTCCTTACTAACTGCCATACAATGCTTGCAACTTTAAGTTGGGAAATTTCTTGTTGAGAAAGGCCATTTTCTCAAGTGGATGTAAATCTTTCCTATTACCTATTGCTTCACATTAAATTGATATTGTGAGCAGAAATCACAAACTGGAAACTTATGAGAATGGAAGGGCTAATTTAAGAAAAACTAGTCAGATTAGGATTCAATGAAAGTTTCATAAATTAATTAATAATTGATGAAACTTTTGAACAATAATTATGAATCCAAATCACTCAGTCATGAAAGGCTCTGCTTTTCATCCAAAGCTAAATTTGGCTTATCGTCCATTCCATTCATCGAACAGTTTGCTATAAGTTGAATTCCTTGTTATGTGTTCAGAACAGAGGAATTAAGGAAACGTACTTTAACGGCTTGAATAGCTCGAGCCACGTCGACTTTTGTTTTTCCTCTGAGAGATTTTCCATTGACACCGACAATTTCATCGCCTGCCTGAAGCACACCTTCTCGGGAAGCTGGAGTGTTATCAAATACTTGAACTACATACAGGCAAGGACAAAGAGGAGCTCCTCCACCGATGCTTATTCCTATTAAATTTTGCTTGTCTTTTTTTAACACCACCGATCCTGGTTTTCCTTGTAGTCCCCTGACAGCGAAAAAAAAAATCAAGAAAAAGAACCCTTAAATGAAACGAACTTCGAGATCGAGGGATTTAATAAAGATATCTAATTACTTTTCACATACCTGGGGTCTATTTCATACTCATATTCCATCATTTTGAGGGAATAAAATATTTTCAAATCGTTTGTAAACTTCGATTTGATCAGTTTTTAATCTTTAGTCTACACCTTGAGCCTTCTGTACACTAGCGGTTTTTTCAAAGAACATGAGCACTGTTTTCTTCGGTACCAGTCCACTGAAAAAAGACAGCGTTGTCCAGGACAACAAGAAACAGTGCGAAGTTTGAAAGTTTTTCGTGGTCATTTGAACAAATGTAGCCTGTCAGTCGAATTCTTCTTTCTTTCCACCATGAGTCGTCTTTATGACACGATTGAACCCTCTGTCATTGATGAGCAGATGCTAAAAAATGCTGTAGAGGAACAAGGACCGAAAGGTGAAGCTGGAAGGATAGCAAAACAAGAGGGAATCGACTTTGGAGATGTACTTTCCCTCAGACTTGATTTCAAAAGTAGGTTTTAAATTCCCTTTAAAGCCGTGGAAATACCTTCAGAATTCTTTTATGTATTATATCTTTCTTTACCATTATATCTATTTTATTTTCTGTACAAAGATATTTTGAAAATCGACAACTTATGGAGTCTAGTGAACCTGACCAAGTTGCAAATGGACAACAACATCATCGAGAGGATAGAGGGCCTGGATCTGCTCGTGAACTTGGAGTGGTTAGGTATAAAACTATTAGAAAATATTTGAAACGCACAAAGCCTTCGACAATAAAACAGTTACTCAGCAGCATTAACGTTTACACCGAAACTTCCACGAATACATGACCTACTCAATAACCAGCACCCGGCCCTACCTCTCCACCGACCACCTATTACACCGGTAACCAGTGAAGTCACCTGAGAGTCATCTCACCCGAAGTCATGTCGCCCAAAACCTGAGTCATGTTGCCATAAATTTTAGTCATGAGTTTGGTTTCAGGCAATATGACTTTGGGCGACATCATTGACCTCTGGGCAACTTGACCATAAACCATTAAAACAATACATGTAGATAGGGGCATTCAACCAACTGGTAATGGTGGGGAAGGCCTCAATGAGATTAAGTAACTTTGCCTTTGTGAAGTGGTAACTTTCATGGAATGTTGAACACTTGTGGAGCCACACAAGCGACAAAGATTAAAGAGGAGCAATTGCAATTCCTTAGCAGTGTCTCCCCAAAAATAACACTTTTTTTCCCAAAAGAGAGATCACAATTTTTTCTTTAAATTAAATTATTCATATTTTTACATTTTGAATGTTAACCGTTACACAAGTAAACCTGCACTAGTCTGTGCTGAACAAATGACACTAATTATACCAGCCAAACTAACAATTTATGATAAGGATCACTCAAAAGTCTATCAACATCTTAATTTGCTTGGTTCAACATTTTTTTGCAGATCTTTCATTTAACAATATTGAAATTATTGAGGGACTGGATAAACTTACCAAGATGAAGGATCTGACACTTTACAATAACAGAATATCAAAAATTGAAAACATGGAGTCTCTTACCCAGCTTCATGTGTTTTCTATTGGGAACAACAGCCTAAAACAGCTAGATAATGTGAGTATATTTCAACAATAGAGGGCTAAGTGGGTTAGAAAACTGTAATAGGTTATTGCACTTCCCTCTTTAAATAAAGTTATTTTATTGTATTGTATTGTAAGTGGGTAGCAATGCATAAAATAATGGGCATAAAAGGCAAACACAAAAATTGAATTTTGTGTTAACTTTTGGCAGTCATTCTGGTCAAATTGGATTTGTTCAAGGTAATTCTTTATTTTTAGAATTCAAACCATAACAATTTTTTAGAACATGATTGGTTATCACCTGCCTGATATGAGCTCTAATAGGACCATGTTTGCATAATACTTGTAAGTGGACACTATCAACTTCATGCAAGTGACTGGCATGACATTGACACTGTCCAATTACAAAATGTAATTGGTCACTTCACTTCATGTTCGTGTGCTTTTGCTGATTTTGCTGAGTTCATTGTCATTTTTTATTTATCAAAACACATGAGGCAATGGCTTGTTTGTTTCTAAAATTTTGTCGTAGTTTTGATTAATTGGTAACAGGACTTAATGTGTTATCCAATTCTGTCTGTAGTCGTACTCCAAGTTTATAAATCAGACTTGCACTTTGTGGTCGTCAATGGCTCCTATGATTACGGACCAAATTGGACCCCACTCTGTCCTATTATCATTTATTGCTAATTAATCATGTTTAATTATGAATTAGATTGTTACTTTTGCGGTTAATGTCAAGTTTTAGTGAGTACATGATATTCAAAGGAAAGGCAAAAATTAAAACTCACTAAAGTTACCCAGGCCAATTTAGGGGGTACTTCAATTCATCCACAAACTGCAAACTCTGCTTTCAGTGGAAAACTATGCCCCTGTTAGAAATGACACTGACACAAATTTAAATTAATAGCTTCTTAAAGATTAAACTCCAAAAAAGTTCTGAATTTGTGAAACTCAGTGTTTCCTGACTCTCATTGTGCCCTGGAATCAGTTAAACATAATTCAATAAAATCATCTTTGGTTGTTTAGGTAATTTATCTCAGAAAATTCAAGTCCTTGAGAACTTTAAACCTTAGTGGAAACCCATTTTCTGAGGAAGCCAATTACAAAGAGTATGTAATTGCCCATCTACCAGACCTTGTCTACCTGGACTTTCGCCTGATTGACGAATCAGCTCGAGAAGCTGCAACAGAGAAATACAGATACTCTATAGAGGAACTGGTTCATGATGAGACAGTAGCCAAGAGAAAACAGGATGAAATGGATGAAAAACAAAAGGAGAGACAATTGCACAAGGTATGTAGAGGGAAACTCTTACAGTGTGGAGGTTGGTAGCAGTGTGAAAGTTGGTAGCAGTGTGAAAGTTGGTAGCAGTGTGAAAGTTGGGAGTAGTGTGAAAGTAAATGTTGTAGCAGTGTGAAAGTTGGGATTAGTGTGGAAGTTGGTGGCCTTCCTTTTGATCGATAAGTAAAATTAATGTATCGCAGGAAGGAAGAAAGATTGCAAATGAGATCTTGAGAGTTCAAGGGTCAGGGCTCTTTTCAATGAGGTGTTATGAAACCAAATCCAGATTTCAAATCACTGACAAAGACCAATCAGAACAAAGGACAGTACCACAAAAAGCCAATGAGAAGTCCAAGTAAAGTTAAGTTGGGTAACTTTTGTAAAGCAAGAGGAAATGCACATAACCTGAATCCAATTGGATTTAGTGTTGATCTTGAGTGTTAGAGAGGGTGGTGCTCATTTTTAGGTCAGTTACAGAGCACAGTGAGGTAAATCCAAGGCAATTCCAGATTACTTTACCAGGGTTTAAACATGTTTTAAAGCTGTTTTGTTAAAAACCGTTTTGACTCATAGCAGAATTTTTTTTAGTCTTACTGAAATCCAACTGGTGTACAACTTGCCACTTGGCTTTGATTATGAATTATACTGAGGTTAACAATAGATCAAACTGACTTTGTCCTAGACTTAGTTGTTGCAGTCTTTTGCAGGATTATACCCTCCTTTAAGTGATCCCCATTGAACAACTGGAATTTTTTTGTTGTGTTCATTTGCCCTTAGTTTCTATTCTTAACAGGCACTTCTCCTTTCTAATTTTTAGATAGCCTTTGTGGAGGACCTGAATGGTCCATGGCTATTTGATAGCATGTATGCTGAAGATCCCGAGGCTAGCAAACTAGGGGCCCTTCCTGGAATGGAGGAAATCCTAGATGCGTATCCTTTACAAACAGCTTGCAATATTGTGAAATAATCTAATAGTATGTAGCTACAGGTGTAAGGAGATAGATATCTATTTCAGAACTGTATGCCCGTGTATTGCAAATTACGATAACACACCTTTACTAATTCAAGATACAAGGAGAAATTTACAACCATTTGCCAGGAAATATTCGAGTTTGGCTTGAAAGAGCACGAGAAAAGAGAGGCAGAAGTCGCGTCGTTCTTCTCTTGTTTGGAGGAAGCAACACAAGAAAACAACAACACAGGTGTCAAGCACATTCATAGCTACATTGAGTACAAGAAAAAGGTATGGAGCTCTTTGAAAATGGCAAGCAGATATACATGTGCAGTCATCGCACGAGTCAAATAGCTGCCAGAGTTTACATACATGGGAGTTCAATGGTGTCAACCGTCAACCATCAAGCAGCCTAAAATTTACCCTCCCCCCCTCCCTCCTGCCACTAAGAACCTCATAAATATGTTACGGTTTCGACATGAGTTTGATTCCCTCCACGATGGGACACTTATCCATTGCAAATTTCTCCCGCGCTCCACTCTTCACCCCTCCCCAGCCTTGCCCATCAAACCCTAACACACTTTCGAATAAACTCTAGTTTAACGCGCGTGTTATTGGCCGATCCGAATTGTGTTTTTCCGCTAAGTATTTCACCTTGAACAGGTAGTGACAAAAACTGACCACTCGCTAAATCGTGAGCGAACTTACATAGCGAAAACGCTAGTCAATGCTAGTAAGACGGCATTTGTAAGTTGCGGCATCCGCGCTTCATTATACTTCTGTACTACTCACGTCTCGCACTAAAAGGATACATTGTACATGATACATTTTGTGCCAGTTGCAGCCGATGTAGTAATTCCCATAATCCCAATTAATGCATTCTTATGTTTCCTTTCAGGTATTTTTGGACTATACTAGCCTTACAGACTCGAGTCATATGGCAACCTTGATGAAGGAAATCGTAGAAGAAATAAGAAAACTGTGGGATACACTAATGGGACTGGAAATGGAATTAGTGGACCAGTTGGAGGTAATCACCCTACGTAAATCGAAGATAAGTTGGTTTTATGAGCTGAGTTAATAATGAGTTATTTATCACCGTAGAGTTTCTAAAGCTGACGTATCGAGCGTTAGTAGCCCCCCCACTGACGCAGCACCACAGGTTCTTTAGAAACTTCCCCCCTTTATTCATTCTACGTAAATCTAGTTTGTTGATAAAATCAGTGCCTGAACTTCTTCTGACCTTCGTCAGAATCATGATTACACGAATCTGGCACGCGCCAAGGAAAAAGCATAAACAGACGGCTAGAAGGTTAATGTTTACAGACTTGTAAATGATTATTCGAATTAATAACATATTTTATCTCTACACACAGGACACAATTAAGGACTTTGAAAGGAACATGGCGGACCTTGTAACCGCATTTGTAGAACACGTGCAAGGATTATATCCTTTACTGAAGACTTGTATGGTAAATCAGGAATTTTGAGCGCGTATACCAAGCCATAGCTCTTGACTCGCGGTTTTTTTTTGTTTGTTTGTTTGTTTGTTTTAAGTCAAATGGAATTTGTATTAAATCCAAATCAATGCGCCGGATTGTGTTGTGCGGGAGGACGAGGGTTCGAGCCCCGGCCGGACCAATACTGATGGTCTTAAAATAAGTGAGGAGAATTTGCTGCCTTTCTATAATATCAAGAAATGGATAGATATTCTAGTCTTCTCGGATAAGGACGAATAAAACCATAGGCCCCGTCTCCTGGCAGGGTTAGGGGTAGGAGACGTTAATTTCCCACGCACGAGATTACTTTGTGATGGATGTCCTCCTCTAGGGTGGGATGGGTGGGTGTTGCTCGGCATATTAGCATGTATTGCTAGGGGCCTAGTCAGCCTCAACAACCCGAGTTGAAATAAAGTTACCTAATGTAGTGGTTTCACCGGTGTGATCTGGGTGGGCCAAGCAAGGTTTGCAGGGGCATTAATGTATTGTTATATGCTTTCTTTCAATCAGCTCTGCTACTTTGCTTGTTGTTTTTCTCCGCCCCCCCACCTTCCTCCCACTTTGTCTTTCCACATCTGGGCGTTGAGTTGACAGGTGCCTGAAGGTCGTTAGAGCCCGCTTCTTGTTACTGAGAAGATTCTACCTCTTTGAAACCTTAACTTCAAAACTAATGACGAAATGATTCAATCTGGCAAAAAAATTCCATCTTTATTTTGTCTAAGAGCGCTAAAGCGAAAACTGCAAGCGGATGTGCTTCATAGTAGAACTAACAGACGTGAAATCAGTTGTTTTCGAGCCTCTATCAACTGAACCATGCGTTCTTCGTCCTTAACTTTTGTTTACAATGACGCAGTTACGTGACCTGGAAAACGCACATCACGAAAAAGTGTCGGATATCGCCGTAGTCACTCTTGAAAAACTGATGAAAAACGAGCTTGAGGAAGATCTGCCTGATGACTTGAGAATGGTGAGTTGGCTTTGGTTCATTAGTCGTTGGAACCTTTCCAGAAGATGACCAAAAAGTTGCGTCTGCTTTAGCTGATTTTTTAAATTTGTCCAGCCGTATGGCTCGACACTAACGGTAGCCCACTAGCCACAGACCAGTAGAAAATCAGTTTTGGGTAGTGGTTTTCAATTTCCTCTAGTCAGTTTGGCTAGTAAACAGACTGAAATTGTCGTAACATCTAAAACCGTCTAAGAACATTTAGCCACTTGGCTAGTAAGTTGAAAAATTAGTGTGGAGCCCTGCAGCTGACTAGATTAAATAGAAAAAAAAGTAATACAAGGAAACAAAACTAGCTGAAAGGTATGAGTATTTTTTTTTGTTGTTTTTTTTTACCTCTGCAACATACAGGTGTACGCCTTGTTTCGAAGTGCGTCGTTTAAAGGATTACACCTTGAATTCTATACACGCTTGAAGAAATCTAGAAATTTCATCCAAAACTGAGTAGCACTAATTATATAGGAAAATTCATTACTTGATGAGGGAATTCCGCATTAAACTACACGCGAACACCGACATCGCACGAATCGTGAAGCGATGAGTGCGATATCGGTTTTCAAGTGCAATTTAACGCAGAATTCACGGGTTGAGTAATGAATTTTCCTTGAATCGCATAACTGAGTAAAACTGAGAAAAAAAAAGAAAACAGTATCACTTAGCCTCGTTTTCAACTCGCAATTCCACGCTGAATACCTCGCTCCGTTAACCAATCAGAATGCGAGATTTCATTCAATGATGCGATTCTAGATTCAACTTAAGAATCTCGTTTTCAGTGTATCGGGTCGAGGAAATATCCATTTTCACCCTCAAACAGTTCAAATTTGGAAGGAGAAAGTTTCATAATGTTTTTTATCCATTACTTGTTTTCGTTATCGTATCAACTAAAAATGTTGTTTGTTTCCTAAAGCTGTTTGTTGATAAGGACACAATCATGAACGCTGTCAGTGCTTCTCATGATACCCACCTTCTGAAGATCGACAACAAGGTAAAGAAAAAAACCTATTTTTGTTGTTCATGGGTCTTGCTGTGTTATTTTCTTTGGGTTTGTTGTTGTAATTTAGAGTAATCAAAAGTATCTCCTAACTTTTTGCCAGCATTTCCGCATTGAGTTTGAAACTCTCGCAGACGATAGCCATCGTAGTATTATGCTACAATGTCGTGTGGAAAAATTTGCGTCACTTCACGTTTGCCTTTTTTGTCATGTAACAAGCTTTATAGTGTCCTCTTCTCTATGTAGTGAGTGCTTCGTTCATTCCAGGCTAATAACAGGGTAGTAAAACTGCAGATAAGTACACGCAGTCAAATTCTCCGCACTAGGTATTCTATGCTTTTTCTATGACCTTTCTAAGAAAATGTCGTCACAATCAGTTGTCTTTCTGAAATTTATCACCATCTAGACTCTCCTAAAGTGCCTCGTCATTTTTGTGAGAGAGAGGTAAAGAGAATTTAGTCTTAACCATTGTGGTACATTTCCAGGAGGATGATATGTTAACCCGAGCAACCACCAGAATGCAAACTCTGAACGAGAAGATCCACAATGACGAAGTGTTAAGAAACCGCAAAAGAGTTTCCGAGATAAACAACTTGGTGGATCACTTTAGAGATGAAGCGGAGAGTTATGAAGTCACGGGGCCCATGTAATGCGTGACACTTTCTTTTGTCACCCTTGTGTAAATGTAAGACTATTATGAAGTTTATCCTAATGTAAACGAATTTATTGACCTGCCATGCGTCTTAAACTGGTGAGAGCACTCAACAATCCCTGGCGACGATAACTGACAACACGTTTGAATGTTTTAACCTCATGTTGCTCTTACTCGTACATATACATATGCACATGTTGTTGACGTTCTAGGTTATGTCAATATGATATCTGTAAAGGGGATCCAGACGACCTTCTGCTACGAATTTCTGCTCTGTAGATGCGCAGGAATTGTTTGTTAAGGAAACAGTTTAAGATTATATGAAAAATGTCCTTGCCATGTTTTTGTTGTCAGTGGCGTCCGCCCCCTGCTTTTTACCGCACAGATCATCTGTTCAACAGGTTAATCGGGTAAATTACAACCCCTACATTAACGCAGAAAATCAGATAACAAAAAGGCGCGTATAGGGAAAGGCCAAAGGTTTTCTTTGGAGGCGGTTATGTAAATTAACAAAGCATGTTCCATCTTTCTAATTTGTTGAGGTTTCGCAATCTTTTGTATCCGTATTTTGTGTACAAATTGGTTTTGTTTTTGTACCACGTCAATTGTAAACATGTTGAATACACAGTAATTTTAACATGTAAATACCAGACTGTTTAAATTAGGAGGTTTTGACGTGTTTGGATATCCTTGTTTACAAGCTGTGCGTATGGAATGTAAAAAAAAAAAATTGACGAGACACATGGTTGGAAGACTCTTCAGTCAAATTTGTTTTCTTTTCTGAGCAAGACCCTGAGGCATGTTTGTCTCGAATTGTCACAAGAACTCATCCCCGTTCTGTATCTCAAGTATAATTCTTGAATCAGTATTTTATTTCTTAAAAAGTAGAGCGGAAAGAAGCAATAAAGTGATAAATGAAGAGGATATTTTCGGAGACGAATTGAGCACTGAAATGTAACCTTATCAACCCCGGAGGCAACGTTAACATTGATTGTTTTTTACCTATATTGTAACTTTACAATTAACATCAAATTCGAAATTTGCTCAACCAGGATGTTTCTCTTCATCTTAACGAGTTTTGCTCATTGGATTTTCAGCAGATTTGTTTGCCGTGATGTCGCCACAATACTATAGGATTTCAGGGGTGTGTTTGTCACGTGCACTGGCAATCGCTCGTAAACACCAGATTTTGCTACAGGCATTAACGTCGTCAAATTAATTATCCATGTATTTGACTCTTTAAGCTGCGTTCAGAAGGCTGTGGTAAAGATTAACCCTCGTGTGCGAACGAAGCGAATTTTTTTGAAGTGATCAAAGTTGATTTCCGGTTGTAATAAATCACCTCGTTATTTTCTAGTTTTGTAACTGAGTGTAATCGACGTCTTTTTTATTCAATCGCAAGTAGCGGCAATAGTCCAAATCTTCTGTGATCCGTTTGGAATCCACAGCTTTACGTACGTGTGGGTTTACTAAGCTCTTCTTTTTGCTGGTTTCTTTTCCTTTCAATTCTTGGAGATAAATCGGAGGTAGTTTAATTGGAGGAAGAAGTTCAGACAAAGGCTTTTTTGCCGGACATTTTTCCTCTTCGGTAGGAGTTAGTCTTGGCTCAAAGTTTCCCCTAGCGCACACTGTATGCCTTCGTTGTCTTGTCTGGCGTGAAGTGTTCGAGGCCTTGTGGTTCTGTGAATCGTCCTTCGTGAGGCAGTCGCTTTTGGGATTAAAAGTGAGAGATCGCGAACGACCGACAACGGAGTGTCTTCGAACTCTAGAGCGCAAGGTGTCACCTATGGGACATGTGACTCGTGCGGAGGAGAGATTTCCTTCGGAGCTCGACTTGCTGAGAACGCTACTCGCGTCCCAATCTTCAGGTATAACATTGGTCCTTCCTCCCCAACTTATTTTACGTCTAGACCGCGAGAGTTTTGTTGAACCTGGTTCAGCTTTTGTAGTCAAAGAATAATGTTCGACTTTTTGTGCCCATGGTTGAATGTGGCGTGAGTTTCGATGAAATCCAGTCGGGTTTATGTCCTCTTCGAACTGAGAGCTGGACAGACTTTTCAAATTCGCTTCCCATGATAGTAAATCGTTAATACCATTATCGTTTTCAGCACCGCTTTCGAAAGTACTTTGTTCTTCGTCAGAATTGCTCTCAAAGGCAAACCCAAGATCGTTTGTTTGTCCCTCCAGCAACAAATTGTGAACTCGGGAGAGAAGATTGGATCGTGTCTTAGAAAAGTCACTCTCGAGTTCTTCTTTCTGTTTGTCGAGTCTTTTGTGGAGGATTTTTAGCTCCGAATCCTTCCGTGCGTTGCGGGCCAGTAGCTCTTTGATGGTCATTTTTGGCAAAGTATATCCTTCGTACACGAGTTTCTCTTTACTCGTCATATTCTTTGGCATTTTGCCCTTGAATTTTTATCAGAACTTGCAAGGATTCCGATGTTATTTTTCCGTCTCGGTAGACATGTGTGTGACATTATATTCCCTGTTTACGGAGGCGTCTTAGCTCTGACTGACCCCGTGAAATTAATCCTAGTTGTATTTGTTCCGAGATAGTAATTATTTACTTAACTTGTTACCAGGCATGCGCTAACGAACGATTCCAAACATATTTCAGCTTCTTACTAACCTAATTGCGAAAGTGATTGACCTGAATTGACCAGCCTTGCGTTGAAATGACTGTGCTTGTAAATAAACACATGCGAGAGTCACGACAGTCAGTTTTTTCTAAAAGGCAAGCATGCCTTGACTGGTTTCATCTGCTCCCGATGCAAAAGGGTTGGTTATCAGTATGCTACAGCTGGAGGAAAATTTAGTTTTTGATGGAGCCTAGGAGGAAATATTGCAGAAGTGAGAAGAAGAACGTTCAATGCCTGGGTGTTCTAGTTGCACATTTCGCGCTGTTTTAACTACTAATCCCACAACTTATTCAACAGTTCTTGAATGTTAGTCATGCAAAGTCAATGAATAGTCGATAAGTCTCTATTGTGCTTGCAGCAGATCTTCAACCTCGGATTAAAAAAGGTTAATAGGTTTTGAGCTTGACTCTAACTAGCAAATTAGCTCTTCAAGGGAGAGCTGGAGTGTGGTCTTAGAAGGCTCTTAGCCTTTCCCTGCAGCCAGCAGAAATAACAATTCCGCACCTCTGTGTTTACTACTTAAGAATCACGTGTTTAGATTCGCGTGATAAGAAGAGGGGGCGTGATTTTTGAAGCTGCACGTTTTGTGCTTGTAGTCTAAGCTGATGAAATGGTGCCGACATCACAAAGTCACGTTAGCAAGATGAAAGTGGAGATAAGTTGAGAAGTTCTCTGCAGTTAATATTGAATAACCGTGACGAACTTGGAAGTCCGCTGTGTTCCTGATTAAAATTTACCAGCGAAGAATTTAAATCGGCAACACAATATGTGTGGTTCAATCCGTTACCCTATGAGAGAACCTAGATGGCGCTCCATTTGGGGGGTGACCGTGAATTTCCATTCTCCTTTAGACGCGCGTACGAGCAACGATGACGGGAGAAACTACTGGCTGTCAAATTAATGAAGTGACTTTACGAACCATTTCTGATGAGCTGATCCTTCTTGGCGGCTAAGCTCAGTCTTCAAAAAAAGGGGAAAAATCAATAAACGCGCACGGTTTTGTGTGGGCTTTATTACACTGGGCAATCGGCACACCCCCTCCCCTCCCCCCTGATTCCCCCCTCCTCACCCTACCGATTCCCCCTTGATGAGATGTAGCAGTTAATATTGCGATGAGCTCAATGAAATAGGCTTTTTTAAATCCTGGTCGACAGACAGTTTTAATCGTAATTGCATATAGTGATTGCCTCCGAACATTATTTGAATGCTATTGTTCCGTTGGTAAATTCCAGAGCAGGTAATTTTCAGAGCGATTTGGTGTCTCGAAGGCAGAAAGAGCCGTACTGAACCAAACAGCAGTCAGAGTTATCTTTCATTTGATTGAGTGACAGGACAGATATAATAAAAACGAAATTAATGTGGCTCTTGAAATTCCTGTAGCTGTTTCACCGTTTTTTTTTTCTCAGGGAGAGCAGCCAGTTTCTAGTCTTATCGATATGAATCCTTCTCCACTGTTTGCCGCCCACTTTGTTATTGTCCGACATTGTGTGTCTCTATTTTATATTTACCTTTAATCTCTTCCGTGAGAATTAGAGTCTAGACAGTGTAGCTTGAGTGGCACCTTCATTTTATTTCTGGCCCATTTAGCCGGCTTTTTCAGCCTCTTATTCACCTGGGGTATCGTAAATACAGGTTCAAAAATGCCTTATGTTTAACACGTCTTTAACGAGAATATACCTGTACAACTTCAAGAATGGTCACAATATTTTTATCAACTGAAGAGCCACTTTTTTAAATTTTCGTGTTCCAAGAAGTGAACGGTCAATTAATGATTGTGCTTGGAAAGTGAGAAAAGTTAAATTATGCTTGGAGTAGTCTAAATATGGTCTACGCCGTGTAAATGAGACAAAAAGATTTAAACACGAAGGCGCGCTATAAAAGGAGCCTTAGGTCCCACTGGACCATTTGTCAATCAACCGTCGTGTGATGTAGAACTCTTAGAGTCAAGTCAGCTTGAGCTACAGCTACTCCAAAGCAGTGAACAGCGGGCGCATTCCTCAAAATTGTTTTATGTCTTCATCACAATACAAGAATTTTTGAGATTTGTATTTCCTTTCTCCAATGGAAACTGTCTTTATTTGTGGCGGTAAATTTGAGATCGAAGTAGGTGGTTCGCACGTTACCTCATGCCCCCATGCTGGTGGAAGTAAACAATAGATATCTCATTAGCTCCTTTTGTTCGTCTACCAGCATTTAAATTTGACCCGCACACGTCAACGGTGAGTGACAAATGAGCCTAGGTCTTCCCAGGGAAGACTTCCTTATATAGCGCGCCTTCGTGTTTAAGGAGATTTCGCAGACCCTAAAAAGAAAAAGCGACACAGGCTTTATTTTCTTGACTTCGATCCGCTCACAAGAAAGGACCTTTTTAAGTATCTAAGTGGTGTAGACCGGTGGTGCGTGCTAACCTTGATGTGGTTTCATGAATACAAGAATCTGATTGGTTCTCTCCTAATTATTTCTCGCTTGCGAACTGAAACCGTGACCGTAAGAGAAGGAAAATTAATCACTGACTAGCGTTTGTAGTATTTTGAATGCTTTGAGTGTGATTGGGAAAATTGTCCTCTTTATATGATTAAGTCGTAGTCCATTTTCCCGTATAGGTAACTGACGCGTGGGACTCTTGTAGCGGCTATGCAATTATTTCATGGAACTAAAAATAACGAAATGCACAACAAAGCTCACATCGCTTTGATCCGCTTGTTCTCCCTGAGAAATGACTTATAATCTTATCTTTTGTGCATGAAAACAAAGCGTGCGAAAGATCTTTTAGATGGGCAAAGCTGTACGATCCTCGCGGTTTAAGGATCTCAAAGTTAAGCATAACTGTGAGCTGGGTTCCTCAAGGTAACTGCACTCAATAATGATTCTTGTTCAACGAAGTGAAGCAGTAGAGCAGCATCTTGATCTCTCCATTTCTGCCAGTTCTTCGTGAGACTTGAATACTGCTCAGTCTTTGGTGAGTAAAGGTGATTACAGACGTGTGATAGTACGATGATTCCAATCGAATTAACACTCACTGTTGGTACAGCAACTAGTGTCAAAGAGCGGCAGTTTGTGGATGTGCAATGATTGCAAATTTTCAAATTGAAATAATTGGCCGCCTTTCCACACTCCAGATTGACAAAGTACAAGCTAAGTGGATCAATAATTGAACACTGCTATCTAAAGTGAGTCGAAAATCGGCTCTTACTCGCATGGGAAACGAAAACAAGCTACTGATGGTTGAAAGCTCATACAAACTTTTAACATTTTCGATAAATAGGTACTTGTACTTGCAAGTGATACAGTGTGCATCACTAAGTGGACTCGTCATTAGTTAGGATATCGTCTTCATTTAAAAGAAAGGTTTGATCTCAACACGACTTTAGAAGTCGTGAACACTGGCTGAATGACTGTAAACACTGCTCTATCTTATATGAAAACGCATTTGCACTCAGGGTGATAAACTTTACATTCCATCGAGATATATACATTTTCTTCACGTCTTGACTATTGTAACAAAAAGTCGATACGCATCACATCACTTGGCAGTAGTTTGAAATCGAGATCTTCCGTTCATTGAATCGGTTTCAAAAGTCCGAATGATTGCTGAAAAACTCATTTCATATGACCCACCGTCTGACAGAGAAACAGGCAGTGTTGTAATCCACGTCATAAAGTTGAGTGATATTGCACAGCTGAATAAGGCAGAACAAAAAAGATGTGACCAAAGTACTCAGAAAACTAAGTGGACATGAGATTGTGCAATGGTGTTCGTGTACATATGCATGTGCTAGAACGTCTGTCCGCTATGTGAATCAGACACTAATTAATTTAACGCCGTTCGCCTTTGTTCTTACTAATGAACTCACATGGGTGTGTTTGGAACTGAACGGGTCCTTTCTCACGTTTTTAGACGGTAAGAAAGTGAACAATGACAAACCCGAAACCAAATAGAGCTACTCAGCCTCTTGATCTAGTCACAAAGACCTTATGTTATTTTTTATTTGATGCCCCTTGTGCTAGTATTATCCGGAAATTCTGGATACAAAATTCTCCCTCCAAGTAATCAACCTCAGACATTTTTCTATTTTGAAATCAAAATTTTATTTTGGTTTCTTTTGATTTGATTTCTTCCTAAATAGTTGCCAACGGAACGACATTACTTGCTCATCTTAACCCTTTTACTCCCAAGAACTCATCAGTGATTCTCCTTACTGTCTGCCATACGATTCTTATCATGTTAGTATGGAGAATTTCGTATTGGACCAACTAATATCCCCTAATTGATATCTGGCATTAATTCTTAGTTGTCTCAGCGTGATATTGCATTGATGTTGTTAGGAAAAAGTCTGTCTAGACGACTCATGAGGATCAAAGGTAAAAATCTTGGGTGCGTCTGATAGGCCAGACGGCTGAGAAAATTAAAACAACGGATTTGCGTATGAAACTTCTATGCCCTGACAGAAGGATGCGCGGTTCCGCTTTTAGTTACGCGAAGCTCCAGACAATGTTGAATTTCAAGTGCATGGCCGTTTGGTCGTATGCTTAGCCGCGCCCGTATCACGTGAGTAAAAGGTAATGATTCTCGTCAGACAATTGACGGATTGAGGATTTTAAGTGACTCACGTAGTTCAGTTCCGAATCAATGAAGAAAATTCACGTTTTTCAAGACCGGGAGGATTTCGAAGATGCGATTAAAATTTCCACGAAGGTGAAAAGTAGCGTTTCCAGTTGATTTAATTCAATGATCCAAGAAGTGTACTTTGGCAAATTTCAAGCAAAAAGTTTTTATTTGAATGGTATACAACTATTCACTCGCCTATGTAGAGCACAAAAATAAATATATCCCCTCCATGAGCTATAATAACCAAATTGTATGTTTCTCAATGAAACTCTTACAATGTCTTTCAGTTTCTGAATTTCCAAAATTTCCGGCCTACCAAGCGCGCCATTGTATGAGATTAAGAGATTACAAACTACGAGATGGAATGTTCCACATACTTTTCATATCATTTCATTTGCCATTGTTTGTTGAGTATAATTACACTAGTTGTTAACAGAAAAGGAGAAGTAATGGCTGGGAAACATTGCAACGTTGATAAGCCTCATGAAAAATTCGGTTTCCTTAAAGGCCCACTGTATAAAAGTGAACTGATAGCTTTACATTGAAAAAGTGAAATAAATTTTGAAAGAGAATCATTTGACAAATGATGATGGGCAAATTTTCCTTGTTCTAGGTTCGTCGATCACAGTGCGCACTCTGGATCGCTTTAAGCCACGTTAGATATCCTTTAGACTGATTCAGTTTAACGCTACATCGCGCTATCTAAAACTTCTCGAAAGTAGAGTTTAACTACAGCACCAATGTGAACTGTCACCAGAAACTAAGTATCACAATAGTTTACGTGCGTTGAGTTCTTTCTTCCAAATCAATGAACTGGAGTTGAATAAACAATTCCAGATATACCAAAAAAATCAGGCTGATCATAAAACTGAAGTTTTAGACATCCATACACCTCAGTACGACTTGTTATGAACTATTTCTTGCTTGGACACAGCCAGAATGTCTTCGTCTTAACAGGCGGACTTTGATGCCCATGGATGAAACTCTTGCATCACCAAAATGTCTTTCTTGAAACAGCGCACATTTCAGATCAAAAGTCAAACTGTAGACCAAAAAGGCTAAGAATGTTTCTTGAACGGAGTATCTGATGAGGAACTGATCTCTTCAGACGAAGCTCGTAAATCAGATGAACTCAGACAGTACAGTTTCTTCTGCCATCTCTTAATTCCCTTTGCGGGGCACTTCAAACTGGGTGGCGTCCTTACTCTGCAATCTTCTATTGCCTCAATATTTTGAAAAATGACTTTAAAAGCCTTCTGCATTTCTCTTTCGAAATCCATCTTCTAAGACTCCTACCGACTCTTTGGTTTTGCATGGGTTCATTCAAACCTCTTCTAAACGACTAGACGGTTCTAAAAATACTACCATTACTTAGATCTTTTTAGAGGACCACTCATTGTGATTGAGGTAGTCACGAGAAATCTAACCAACCAATAGTAAGGCTTTATTTGTCCTAAGTCATGCAATCATTTCGCTATTCTTCGTTGGCCTGACGTTCACCCATTTATGGTTAAGTGCACATAATGAATAGATTTTTGTATGTTTATGAATCACTCGTCTAAAATCTGATTAAATGTGCGATAAACATATACAACCGTAACCGCTACTCTACTCCTCCTGTTTTCTTCATGTTCTTTAGTCTAGAGCATAAAGTTCTTCTGTCATATAGAACCATTTAATGTACAACCTTTTGAGGCTTTTTTCTTTAACCCCACTCGCCCTGAGGGTTCTTTATTAAGTAACATGAACAAGCCTGTTATGGTAATCTCATAGCCTTTTATCATCACATGGACGTCATTTCTCGGCCATTTTGATTGCAGCTTTTTTGGTTATAATTGCTAAATGTATGGGTGGTTTTACTATGATTTGTTACGAACAAAAACCAGCTCTACCCACAAAAGCTCTTAACTCCGCCCTGAACTACAATAGATACAAAACACCTATTGAACCGTGGGTCCGGAGAAAGCTGAAAGAAACTGGCTCAAAACCGGGTCTGACTAGTTTGAGAATGTAGAACTCAGCATTTCTACGTTTGAAAACCATACAAACTGTAACCTATTATTCGCGCTTCTCAATACAAAGAATCACATTAAGAACACCTGATTTCTTCTAAGAATAGGACACTATCAATATAGGTGCCCTTGAGCTACTCAATACTTGATTTGAGCAGAATTTAACTATACTTGAGATGACAAAAAATATATTCATTTAATTTAAATAAGGAGTGATCACGTCTCACCACGCTACTGTTTCCTTTTTGAGATCTTGACCTGTTTCCATCAAATCTTGCATCTTTAATTGATGTCTTTCCGGCAGTAAAAAAGAAAAGATAGAAGGCAAGTTCATCTTAAGCCCACCACTCACTAATGATTCACTTCACCTGGTAGTAAATTGCTGCTCAGTTCAGTCTTTCGGTGTTCCTTAATCCTTTAATTCCCATGGGTGACCAAGACAGAATTTCTCCTTACAATAGCAATATGATATCAAGCAGACAAGTGATGAGAATAAAGAAAAATATCAATCAGGGGATTATTAGTTGATCTAATACCAAATTCTCTGAACTATATGGCAAGCAGATTTCGCTGAAATCCTGAGATCAAGGAACCGTTGACCGAAAACTCACCCACAATATCTCTTAAGGTTGTCTCGTACACTAAGTTTACTCGTTCTTTTTTTCGACAACCGTTCTCGAAACGGCAGTGAACAACTAGGTCAACTAACGTGCGCCAGTTACCAGAAAAGAGAACGAATCTAGTAAGTACTCAGGAGACGAGTGATAATAAAAAGTGATTGAATTCTTGTGAGGTTAGATAGAAACTTTATTAACGTGTCAAAGAACCTTCTAGTTTGGGAGATATCCCATACTAGTGTGGGGACACAAATAATATGGATAAAAATTATTTACAAAGAATATTACCTACTTAAGAATAAAATTAAGTCATATCATGTATGAAAAAATATGAAATGAATTAAGAAGTACATAGAGCACAGCCCCTGCAGCCATCATCTAAAAGGGAGCTGAGGTCACGCTTACGTATGCGGTTTTTGAAACTAGCTAATGTTGTGGCTGATCTGTCATAAGTTGTCAGTTTACTCCATAATTTAGGTCCTAAATAGCGTAGTGAATGTTTGCCGTAAGTTATTGTGTTGTGTCTAGGAATAGAAAAGTCGGCCTGTCTTAAATTATAGGAAGCGTTGTGTTTCTGTAATATATTACAAATATTCAAGGGGCTAAGGTTGAGTTTAACTTTGTACATTAAAATGCATATATCCTGTAAGCGTCTGTTTACTAGCGAAGGTAAATTAGCTTTCTGCAGCAAACGTTCACAGGTGGAGTGTTTATCTTTGAATACAGCCCTTAGGCCTCTTTCTTGAACTCTCTCCAGTCTGCGACTATCTCTAGATTTACAAATATGCCATGTGAGATGGCAGTAGGTTAGATATGGTAGAATGGCTGCCTTAAAAAGTTGTAATTTTGCATTTGTTAGAAGCAAGTTGCGGAGTCTCATAAGCACACCAATCCTTTGACTAGCTTTGCTACAGATAGTATTTATATGATTATTGAAGTTCAAATTTGAGTCAATTGTGACTCCGAGAAGTTGGAGAGTAGCGGTGGTGTTGATTTTCTCTTTGTTTACTAAGATAGCGCATTCTTCGATGTTATTTTCAGAGTTGATGTTGCTACCAATAATTAAGGTTTGGTATTTTTTAAGGTTGTGATCAAAAGTTTTTAAGCAGTCGATAATCAATGAGTTCAGAAAAGATGATTTACAAATAATTAAGAATTTCAATTTACAAATTTGAAGATGAATAAGATCCAAGAGTATTATTTCATTGTTCAGTGCAAGGGTCTAATTATGGTATATATGTGCACGATCCTCGCAGTAAAGCACTATTTAAGCAATAGTTAAAATTCAGGCCTGTACGTGATTCGAACCACTGATCTCTGCGATACTAGTGCAGCGCTCTACCAATTGAGCTGACAATCCAACTGGGAGCAGGCCATTAAATTAATTCGACATAAACCCGTAAGATGAGGAATCAAACATAAAGAATATATGAAAGACACATATCTGAACTGCGCTTATGAAACGTATAAGTGCACGATCATCGCAGTAAAGCATTATTTAAGCAATAGTGAAGATGATCTAACAATGATTGACTTGAAATGTTCATCTCATACTTAATCTTTATTTTGCCATTGTATATTCCACGCTCCGGAGTATGTACGTAACATGAAGGGCTAAGGCCTGATAACTACGCTGAAAGAAATAATGTTTACATTGCACTGAGGGAAGGTCGTGATTTATTATCGCTGGGGGAGGGGAGGGGAGAGTGACTGGTCCCTAAAGTTTGAAATTTTGTCCCTGCCTTATGTCCCCATATCAGGCCCTTCGATTCTTCAATTTCCTACCCTCTAGTAACTAGTTTCACTTCCTTCGTTAAAACAAAAGGAATCAGTTTAAAAGAAAACTTACTTTAAATTTACTCCTGCATAACATGGTTACACACTTAGCTGAGCTCATCGAAAATTGCTTTTCCTAAGATATCGACAATCCTCTAAGTCCTCTAACTCTCTTATCTCAGTCACCATTGGTGTCGAATTAGTGCCAGAGCCCTCAGAAATATATTCTTTTGTTTTTGTCCGCTGATTCTCCAGAACTGTCCTCTTTTCCAAAGAAGTTGCGCCAGATTGAAATATTGGTGGAAGAATAACGGGAGGTAAAATATCTGATAGCGTCTTAGTCCGCTTCATTCTCGCTCCCTCAACGATGCTTGAACGCTCTGGCGGTTTTATCACTCCTGTTTTGCGTAACCTCGGCCGGTTGGTTTCGTTTGCTCCCTTTTCAACTGCCAGTCGCGAATGATTGAGTCCCCTGTTTGTTTTCGCTTTTTGCTCAAGCGCCTCACGAATCTCTACAGGACACTTCAACCCTTGCAATTGCGAGCTCGACATCTCCAGCTCGGAAAAACTTCTATACCGCGACATGAGAGGTTTTCCAGCCGCATTTCGCAACCCCATTGAGCCTTCGAGTTCGTTCGATGTTTGTTGAGAATCCTTCACAGAACGCTCTTTCATCTGCGATTCAAACTTCTGGAGTAAAAGCTTCTGTTTCTGTTGCTGGTAATCTACTTCCTTTGCTATTCTTTCTTTGTCAAGTTGTCGTGTTACTCTCCCCAACGCAATCCTGTCACCAGTGTTCCTCGTCAAAACATGTCGCACCAAACCTTTTGAAATCTTCCTCTGACGTAGATCGTCGTCCAGTCGATTGCCTCCAATTTTTTTGTTTTCCATCTGAAAAATTGCCACAAGTCGTAAACCACACGGTGCAGGTGAGTTCTTCAGTTAAACATACGCAGCTCATTTCACAACTATCGTGATATCCTCCTGCTTTGATTAAATAATTGTCTGCCTGGTGAAAACATACACTTAAAGAAACCTACGTCAATATTTCACAACATGCATCAAACTATTATCTGGTATAGCTACGCTCAAAATGACCATCCAAATGCTTACTTTCAGAACAGCGGGAAACAAACAAGGAAACTGAAATGAATCAGGTGATGACATTCTGACAAAAGCGTTTGAGTGTGTTTGTGATCTCTAAAGCTTTTTGTTTGTGTTCAACGTCAAATGTAACACCCATTCTTAATACACAGACACCAATCCCAAAAATGTTGCATTGTGTAGGTCTGGTGCTTCTCTTATTGTGTATTCTGAAGGAGTAACAATACGGTCTGACCATCTTGATAAACGCAGCTTCAGTTTTTGAAATTCGTCAGTTTGAATCGTTTTCAAGGCTTCTCAATCTTCGGTCATCGTTGTCTCTTCTCGGAGTAAAACTGTCCCTTCATTGATTATCTGTCCAACCGAACTCAGGCTGATAATTTTTTGATCACTTAATTAGAGTCCTTAGAAGCTACGGGTAAATTTTTGATCGCAAGAAAGGACTCGTTACAATTTTGGGGCAGTTTCTTCATCTTGCGACGTGAAAACATCTTGCCTTCTGGTTCTCGCTTTTCATTAAGGATCGAAAAAGTAGCTTGGAGATTTTGGTATGAAGACTTTGAAGCAGGCAAAGTCAAAACATTGACAATATGAACGCGTCATTTTAAGGCAAACAACTCGATAAAATGTAACAAAACACGTCTACCTTTGGAGAGACAGGATCCGTTCTTACCCCCATGGTGATGTTAATGAATCATTGAGTTGTAGACCATATAATTAAGACAAGTTCTTTAAAGCGAGAAAAGCAGAACTTTCAAGCCAGAAAAGTAAATTGACCCAAGGAGGGGTCATAAATTGTGTTAGATTTTGTTCGCAGTTATTTGCCAGCTTGGAAAGTACATCCCAAAGGGAAATACCGGTTTTCTTCTAATTCAACGATTAGTATTAGCTTTCCAAAAACAACTTGTTAGTCTAGTGGAAATTTTTCTGCACACGGGAGACATTCTCTTGGTGAGATGACAGCAGATTGGAAGCGGACCCTCTTTTTCTCCAAAATGTCAAAGAGAAATGATTGATTGCTGTCGAAAGCTAAGAGGAGATTTTGGCGGGAGAATATGATTATAAGATACCCCCCTCCTTCCCGCCCCCCTTCCTAAAACGCATGCGCACACTGCACACAAACATAGAAAATTATACGTATGATGCACGATCCACGCAGTAGAGAGCGCTATTTATGCAATAGCGAAAATCAGACCTGAAAGGATTGTGCATCATACGTATCTATAACCGCAGTTCAAAATATATGAACTTCATATATTCATCGTATCTGATTTATCATCACGGGTTTATTACGAATCAACTTAACGGCCTGCTCCCAGTTGGCTTGTTAGCTCAATTGGTAGAGCGCTGCACTAGTATCGCAGAGGTCAGTGGTTCGAATCCCGTACAGGCCTGATTTTTTTCAGGTCTGATTTTCGCTATTGCATAAATAGCGCTCTCTACTGCGAGGATCGTGCATCATACGTATCAATAACGGCAGTTCAAAATATATGAACTTCATATATTCATCGTATAGAAAATTATATAACACGGACTGGGGTGAAACTGCACGTGAGTTACGTAATGTAAAATGGTATGGCATTCATGTGCGTCACTTGACATTCCACTAAATTTCTGACAGAAGCCTCAGAAAAAAAAATTAAAGGTGAACTGTAATTTTCAAGTGCAGGTTAATATGGGATCAAGCTAAAAAAAAGTGTTAAATACTAGTCAATTTATAAATCTTGAGGCCGACCGCCCAACCATGAAAATTTCTTCATGCTCAAGGTCACTCTATTTTATTCACTGAATGAGGGTATTTAATGAAAGAAATCGTTCTCACGAAGCATCAAAATTTTGATTGATGTGTTTTAACTTTTTTACACATCAGTCCTTTAACATATCACGTGTCTACAGACTGAAAGGTTTCACATGGTTTCTAGCGGTCGACGAGCGCTTTGCACGTGAACAACAGTTACGTGCGTGACTGAACCCATTCAATTTTTGTAGCAAAAAAGAATGTTTATATCATGCGTTAATATTACATAATTAATCTGATGGTAAACAGCATGATTAAATGGCTTTCTCTTTCTCTTGAATAAGTTGAAATAGATCCGTATTTTCACTAGGCGATTAATTAGCTCCTTTGAATATAATTCGTCCATCAGATCAAGAAACAGAAGTTGTTCTGACAGCCGCAACTCTTTTAGTTCTCTGAAGTCAGCCAACAAAGATTCCGCACACTTTCCAAGTTAGGACGCTCTTCGCATCCATGATAGAGACAATGTGCTACAGTCTTAATGAAGTAAATGGAAATTCCTTGTACGACATGAGCTATATCAGTTCTACACATCCATCTTTACACACTAAAACAGCGTCCTTTGGCTGATCTGTGCTGTTCTTCGAACTCGGTGGAAACTCCGTTTACCGGTGCACTAAGTTTACGTTGCTGTCGACTAACTCCATTCTTTGAATGATTCCAATAGACAGACGTCTTACGTTTGGTTTCCAGAACTTTGATGTTGTGAAAAATAACTTTAAAAGACTCATACATTTCCTTTTCAAAGTCCATGTTAGCTTTTGAAGTGGTCCTCTCCGCTTAAGAGAAGAAGTTGATTTTGTTATCCGCTTGTTATAGCCTTGAGATCACTCACTCTCCAAACTGAAGACTTACTGAGTAACATGAATTGCACGCACGCGCATATATTCCATTATCACTCAAACTGCATTTGTTTCCAACGCTTTTTAATTAACGAAAACTAAACAAAAGATTCTTTTAACTATTATGACTAGTAATTGCTTTTTTTTGAAAAGCCCTGTCAAATAAAAGAATTGCATAGCATGTTTAGCGGTGTGTCTCTCTTGATAATTATCTTCTAGCCGATCATTAGTCGGCGTGCTTCATTCAAATCTACTCAGTAATTCCTTAATTGATATAAAAATGAGAACTTAAAGACTATCTGTGATAAATGATCCCTTAAAGAAGCGGTAATATTTCTCGGCTTAAACCCCTAATCAGCTTTCCATCGCTTCCATTGTCCGAAGAATCTGCAGATTATACAAATTGAAGAAATTGAGGAGCTACCTTATTATTATAGGATATTGACAATGCACGATGACAACGCGAAGAAAATTTACGTTACACTAATTTAGCGCGAACTTTTCAAAAATTAGGTTTACATGCATTAAATTAACGCGGATTTTTCGATAAGCATCTTGCTTTATTTGCTGCTATTCTCATAGCTGCGAACTCGCACTTTACATTTTTGAACGCCAAACTGCGTTTTGGCCTCTGTCAATGAAACTTCCAAGACAAGTCCACGGATGTTTCTAAGTTTTTATTAAAACCGAAAATTTGGTTTTGAAGCTTAACTAGACCCTATCAATTCAAAAGATCTTTCAAAGCCTCCGTGAAATCACCAAGAGCTGCTCACTCGTTTGATTGACGGAAACCAAACCGCAGTCTGTTGCAGTAAAATCTCAACATACACATGTCTCGTGGAGAAAAAGAAGCATTTACAGTAGTTAACTTTTAGGAAATAAAGGTGCTTTAAAATAACAATGTTGTAAAATAGCGTGCATGAAATTTACATCGACATTAATTAAGATACATTGAGTTAACGCGAATTTTGTAAAATCGCGTTAATAAAGTGCATTGTTAATTTCCTATAATAAGGTATTAAATAGACCCCCTTTCCCCCCCCCCCGACCTCCATACCTGAAGCCTTCCCACTCAGTCGAAGTGAAATCTTAAAACATCTGATGTACATGAGACAACAAAACATCAATCAGTATTACAGTAGTGGCCTCAGCACGTAGCGCTTCGTGAATGTTTGTACCATACTCTATGCATTACCGGCTTCTCTAAATCTTTGATTTCCCTTTCAATGCTTAATATAAAGTCGGAACGCAAGAGCTTAACTCATTTTAGACTAATCGAATGACTCGGATTCAAAAAGTCTGGGGTGACTGTCAAGTTCACGCATCTTTATATTTGTTTCAAGCACTTGATCCGGAAAGATACTGCCAAACACGCAACTTAGTTATCACAACGGCCATGATAACAATACAGGAATTTTATAGCACCCATGCTAGAGTTCAGAGCGCTGTACAGCTATGTGGATAAAAAATAAGATAAAGATGACTAAAACAACTTACTAAAAGTATTGAGCAAAAACCTAATGAAGCTAATTAAAGACTTGATCAAATAAATGAGTCTTCAGGTTGGATTTAAATTTCACAAGCGATGGTGCTTGCCGTATGGCGTCCGGAAGCTGATTCCACAGATCTAGATATGGAGCTATATAACTAAAGGATCTGCCTCCATAAGTCTTAAGCTTGAAACGAGGAACTTGTAACAGTTTCTTATCGGACGAACGCAAAGCTCTAGGTGGTTTAGTATTGTACTAAAAAATTAGATATGCATTGAGGTGCTAAGCTTTCAGGGCCTTATAAGTAAAAAGTAATATTTTAAAGATTATCATTACGTTGCTTTACAGGTAGCCAGTGAAGCTCTTTAAGGACTGGCGTAATTCGGTCATATTTTCGGGTGCAGGAGACGAGACGCGCCGCAGCATTTTGTACCCGCTGAACCTTATCTAATAAGTATTGTGGCAATTCTACCAACAATGAATTGCAATTTTCCACTGAGCTTAGATGTTATAAAAGCATGCACTAACGTTTCAGTATCTTTCTGAGTAAGACATTTCCTGATTTTAGATAAATTGCGTATGTGAAAGAAAGCTACTTTACAGATATTTTGAACTTGATGCTCATGATTCATAACATCGTTAAACATTACTCCTATGTTTCTAGCCGACTCAGTTGAAACTACCCTGACACCAGGTATTTTGATGTCACATATTGGTGGTCGTGGGCGATGTTTGGCATGTATAACCAAAGACTCAGTCTTATCGCGATTGAGCCTAAGCCCATTAACAATTGAGCACGTAACAAGTAACCAATCAGAACTCAAAATAAATACAAGGTGATGGTCTAAAGCGTGGGAAAACGTTGGTGGCCATGTTACGAATGATCTTATTTGCATCTGATTGATTGCAAAGGTGGTACAACCTCTAAAAAGCCAATCATAAAGCACGATATACCCATGCCGTAATGTTCATGCAGCACTCTCCACTCTCAACTGAAAATTTCTCGAAGACTGAAAATCAGTATGACCTCCCAGGATGCATTTCTTCGGTCTTCTGCTGGTCGTCTGCCTTTCTCTTCATCAGTCATGGTTGTTGAGATCGCAGTTTTCCTGATGCTGTTAAATCTCATGTTTTTAGTGTTCGTATCAGTGCGTATTGAAAGTCGCATCATGTGAAGGAAGCTAAATCGGAGCTGAATGAAGTCCGAGTGTCGTTTCCGATGTATGACGACGAAAAGTCGTCAACTGTGTCCGAGCAAAAGCAGGCTTCCATTGAAGCAAGTGAGATTCGCGTAAGAAGCATACGCTCAGATGTGATCTCCTTAGAGGAACTCGGCAGCAAAGTGGAACAGTTGGAAAAGAGGTTAGACTGCATGTGGGATTCCGTCAGCTATTTACCTACTTAAAACAAACCTTTGGCCTATTTTGGAGTAAATCAAAATGAAGCCTTAATTCAAACCAACTATCTCGTAGGAAACAGCTTTGGGACAATGTCGACCAAATGGGCTCAGAAAAGAATATTTTTAGTTAGGGGTTCTCACAAATTTTCTACTGGATATATTCCGAAAATGGCGAATGTCCTATCATAACAATAAGCTGAAACCAGATCCATTGCAATAAAAAAGCATGATATTCTGTATTAGTATCTCAGTTGCTTGTGTAGTGTTGAGAGTAAGGTGCGCTAGTTATGTAAAATAAGTGGTCCTTTCGAGGAAAGCTTGTGGTTTGTGAAAAATTTGAATCGTTAACCTTGACTCGGTGTCAGTTATGATGGCAATAACTTGGTAAAGGTGTATGTACCTGTTAGGTAAAAGGTACGTCTACCAAACATGTTATACCATACTTATCGCATCGGTTTGGGCGCTCTTAAAAGCTGTAATGAAAAGAAAATGTTTTTAATTATTTGTCTGCTTTCTTTGATTGTTTGAACATCCGGTTGGGTAATGCATCCAAGTTGGGTACAGGCTAGACGCTTTAAGTCCGTGGTTAATTGCCGTGTTAAGAGGTGCTGTTTGTATAATAACTTACGAAAGAATATGATACAGCCTTACTTGAGACAGTTCATTACGGTGGTGAAAAAAATAAATAAACGCAAACACGTACACGAAGAAAAATTCGAACACAGTATCACCCAGAATATTATTGTTTTACACGAAATATACTTGAGGTGCTCAGTGCAACATAATTACCGGCTTAAAATGTCTAGAGCTAGTCGGCTGTAAGTGGAAAACAAAATTTAGCTTTAAATTTGCTTTGCGGAGTTGCTTTCAGCATATTTTGAATTTGACAATTTTTAATTGAGGTCAAGGTAAAGAAAACAAATAATTCAAAAGTGATATCACATTTCTCTTCGAAGTACACTACGTTTTTCTTTGTAGGTGTGGAGCTTATTTCTACGGATTTAGGTTAATATTTTCAATTGCCTTGTTCCGAAGGATCATTATTGATCAAAAGACAAGCTGCGGTTGAATCTTTGAACCCGACTCAGTAAAGGTTCATGGTACTAAATGTGCACCGACCTCAGGTTATAGTCGATGAGCTCATTCCATAAACAGAACGACCAGGCACTGATGGGGTGAATCGTATGTTTGTCGAATTCATAGAAAAACTGATCTAAATCCGTGACTATGGAACTGATTTGTTACAGTGTATTTTAAACTTCTATAAGTCTGAAACTACTACGGCCAAGCCCTATCACACATGAGGTACCCTTATAACAAGGGGAACTTTGGCTTTCTTGACTTAATTTCTTATTCATCAGGAAGGGACGGACGAGATATGGTGGGGACGGTGTTAAAGGGGAACGAGGCGAGCCGGGAAGTATTGGACCCCAGGGACCTCCTGGAGTAAAAGGTGAACAAGAACTGTATTCCACACATAAATCTGCTACGACTCTGAAAATGTTCGGACGAGTATGCCCGGCCAAGACCTTCAAACTTTACTTTTTGTGTGTTGCTAGAAGACGGAGGTCTTTGGAGACAGCAAAGTAAAGTCAGACCTCCTGGGTTACCGAGCGGCAGTGGCAGTGCCAATCACATGAACTTCACTTCCGGTGCAGTGTTAATTCGTTGGGGTCGCACTTCGTGTCCCGGAAATGCATAGCTTTTGTGTAAAGGTACTTGAAACAGGCTGTGAGGAAGAAAACTATTTCACAGCTATACATAATGGTAATAGAACTTAACTGATTCAAGAGATTATTAACTGTCATATTCTCTTGTAAATGTCAATAATCTCTAGGACTGAGTGGAGTCCAATTCGCTCTGAAATTGTAAAAGTGTTTGACAAAATCTGACGACCGGGAACAAATTTTTTCGTATAAGGACCGACCCAGACCTGTACATAACTTATTTTCTCTGCTGGTTTTCTTTTTTTCACCTTTCGCATTTATCGGTGTTTTTCATTTGATGTGAGAGTTATGGTAGAGAGCCACTTGTCGCAGCGTTGGACCCTGGAGCACATGTCCAAACTCTAGCCCTGGTCATGGCTGGCTGTTGTGTTGTGTTTTGAAGGACACCTTGTGCATTCTCCCACCCAGGAATATAAATGGTGCCAATAAATTCACCGGTGAGTTGGACGGAATGCTCTGTAAGGCGGAGATGCAAGTTTTATTCGACCAGCAGCCCGTCTTGGAAGCCCTAAAGTGGGACAATCTGGGCACAAGGAAAACTAAACTGATTCTCTTGCTGGGCATGCATAAATATGTTACCACGCTCATGAGACTTACCATTCCCTTTTCGTATGATGTTTAGGTCCCATTGGTGGAAATTATCACGGTCATACAGGTGGAGGCTCAAACCATATCTGCCTTCCTGAACAGCCATTATACGCAAGGTATGATGACAAATGGGAGTCTTCTTCTTCTGCTGTATACGGCGCAGAATATGCAGTCGGTGAGTTCAACCCTTTTAAAAAGCCCCTTAACCATTATAATGCACCATGTGTAGTATGCCATCTTGAGTCACGTGGCTCCCGGGTGATGATTCCTGCCAGAAACGAGTGCCCCACAGGATGGACTCTTGAGTACTGGGGCTATCTTATGACGAAAAGTTACTCTAGTGGCAACACTGATTTCATCTACGTGGATGAGGATGCTGAATATGTACCATATCTGCCGTGGAAACAGTGGCGGGGTCAAGTTGAGTCCTGTGTAAAGTGCTTGTTATGTATTACCATGTGGTCCTTGCATCGATGGCCGTGAACTGACATGCGCAGTTTGCAGAAAGTGAAATCCAATCCTTCACTACCAGGCCGTGAGAAGCCTTGGTGCAGTAGAAGGTTCTGCTCAATTATAAAGGTCTTATTATCCGATGATCACACATCAAATTAACCATTAATGAAAAGAAGATGCAACGCTCTGAATATGGAGAGTGACAAATTTTTTTGTAACTGAACTAAACATTAATAAAATACAATGGTTTAAGACATTGTCTGGATTAAAAAAATGTATTTGTTCAGACGAAATTTTGATCTACGGTCATTGCAATGAAACCACGAGGTATAGGTATGTCATCGTATGGCAATGCAAACACTGAAAATCTAAGAACCGATCGCGACAGTACAAACTCGATTCGTTCTACGAAAGAATGTGATCTCTCATCGCAAGAATCATGGCTCAAAACAGTTTGGAACCATCAGAATTTATTATTCGATACCCTCCCCACCCCTTCCCAAAACGGTTGTACCACAGCTTCAAGGAAAGATGTAGAAAAATTAACATTGCATCGGGGGTGGGGAGGGAGAGGGGAGGAGGGTGGAGAGGGAGAGGGGAAGAGGATGGGGAGAGAGAGGGGAATGGGGTGGGGATGGAGAGGGGGAGGAGGTGGGAAGCCGAACTCTAACACAACCAAGTGAAAAAACAAGTTTTACTACTCATTTTTAGCTCATAGAAGACGTCAAAAGGTGGTAAGACCATCAGTTACACACTCATCTGCGGTTCATGGGCGCATTTCCGTTATTACCGCAAATTGACGTCATCTGAGATCTGTGACTAAACAGACCCGAGGCAATGCATGGCGTCTATTTGTTTTAAAAAATAGAAAAACTAATTCAACTGTGTCGCTCATGAGATTCTCAATATCTTGTTTTTATCGTTCGATGATTATGCTCTGGTGACGTTTCTGAAGACATTTCAGTAACCTTAAAGGATCAAAATAAAATATCTATGCTTTGGCTGTTGGAGTACACGCGTCTGTATGGGAAACGCAAGACACATTTGGTTATATCAACCGAGTTGATATGAAAATTGGCCACCGTAAAGAGTTTCTAACGTTGACGTTTTGAGCCTTAGCCATTCTTCAGCGGGAAAAGCAAAACGCCAGCTTTGAAACTCCTTACGGTGGCCAATTTACATTATAGTTCAGTTAATAAAACCTAATTATCTTGTAGTACCCCCACCGAAGCAGCACCATAGTTTCTTCACAAACTTCTCCCTTTTATATATAGAAAATAGCTCTTTATTACTGTGTATAACTGACCTATACTATTACTTCAGGAATGTAGTAGATCCTCGCAGAAAAAAAACAGCCATCATCAGTGATTACCTCTTCAACTTTTTGATCACATTAAAAGGCGTAGGTAACTAGGTAAAATTTTTGGATGTGTTTGTTATTTCGCGTATTTCCGATTTAGAGAAAGACCTGGTTGATAAATTGACCGATAAAGTCGTTAACATCTGCATGTTAAGCTTGTAGATTAATATTGTTCCATTCTCTGGCAAACGAAGCAGTTGTTATTAAACAATAAACATATTGATCGTTTGAGACTAATGATCGTCACTGAACTTTTACCTTCTCAACCAGACCTCTTGGATTGCTCTTTGTTACTTAACAAAACAATTCAAGCATTAATTGGTAAAAAAACATTTGTTTATCACGTGCAAAGTCACGAACTTGGTGCTCTATGAGGACCTCACGCGAGCCCACGAATCTTACTTTACCAAAAAGAAGACATAAATATTTAAAAACCTCGATTTTAGGCTGTGATTTCAATATTTAGTTATCTGATATTAAATGCCCAAAACATGAATTTTGAGATTGAGCACAATAAAAGCTAACAGTTCTGACTTACGGTATCTGATTTTTTTCCATGTGTAAAACAGACATCGCTGGTTGTTTTATCAATTGACCACGGAAATTGTCTAGTAACATTGCGTATCCCATCTCGTCTCCAATATGTTCAACTTTGTTGGATGCATGTTTCTTTCCATTTGTATACTCTGGCCTATAGCGCAGCGTTGATTCTAAACGCCACATAATTCTTCTTCTCCTGAAGCTGTGCGCAAATATCGACACTGTCTCAAAGGTTTCCAATCATCCACTTGACAAACTTTCAAATCATCAGGCAGTTGTGTATCAATGTATTTTTTGGGTGCTGTTATTCCATTGGAAGAGGCGTGTATGTCAGGAAGAGAGACTGTAGAACTAAAAGCTGAGAATGTTTTACTTCTAGACCTGAGCGGAGCTGGCTCTTCGTCGTCCTCATTGGACTGCAAAGACACTGCAGAGAGCAACCGCCTTTGCTGGTTACTTCCCAAAATTTCTTTCCTCCTTGGCTTAGGAGACTGAGCTGATTGAGTGGTTTCGTTTTTCCATTTGTTCAGTGCGTTTTCCAACTTGCCAGAAGACAAAGGTGTCAGATTTATTTCCTTCTTTTTCGGCAGAGATTGAGAATATTCTCTTGACAAAGCTGTCGCCTTTTTCCAATTGGTAACTGAGTTCTCCATGTTTATGCTGCGAGAGGAGGAAGGTCGACTTTGACTGGTTTCTAAGACCCTTGTTACCTGACGTTGTAAAAGGTGTTCCCTTTTCTTGAGGAATAATCTTTCCTCCGAACTTTTCTCTTTTTCAAGGAGGCGAGACTGTTTCTTTAGAGTCTCCTGGTTGATAGCGTTTCGCATGAGTAAGGTCTTTGTTGTTTTTTTCGACAGAAGCATAGGTGACTCTTCGTGACTTGCCTTCATTTTGTTAGCTGTAAACTTCACGAGCTTGCGCGACCTTTAAGCCTAAAGCTTGAATTATTTCCCTGCGTCCGATACAAACCTAAGACACTGAAACTCTCAAATTTTCATTGATATGTGATATCATAATAGTATCCGCTCTTAGAGAAACGACTTCCCGTCCAATATCACAAAATAGACAAAACACTTACAATCAAAAGAGCTTAACGTCACGATATTCGAGCAACGTCGAGTAGCGATCAAACTAGCGCGAGTTTGATAAAGACAGCGGAATAATGGTTCAATACTTTAGAAAAACACGAAAGAAGCAGTATAAGCCAAGAAGCAACAAGAATGACCAAAGATGCATAACACTGACATAGACCGGATCGCAAGCGGTAAAATTTTTCCAAATGCACCAACCGTAACAAAGACGTAAATACTCTACTAATTGTATGTCTTCCCACTCAAACAGGTGCCATGTCACGTCAATCATTTCCGTGGCCGATTTTTGCGGTCTTCTCACAAAGAGAGGAGGCCTAAAAATAACTCTTCCATGATGGTGGGAAAGTACTAATGAGGGAAGAATATACTGAAAACACACGGAAGAGTTAAGCCAGATAAGGACAAAATTGACACTAAATGCAACCGGTGAATTCAAGATGAAAATCATTTACCGGTAATGCTCTAAACAGGGCTTATGAGCGTATTTTGTTGTTTGGTAGTTAATTAATACATCTGAGTAAACGCCTTGAGTTAAAGCGTTCATCGTTATCCATTGCCTATCGTGTAATTGTCCCCAAGTGCCTGCTCGAAGACGATGTTTCATGCCACTCCAATTGTAAGTTCAGTTCGACAACGCGACAAAACCGCATAGAAAATTACTAAAGGACCCAATGACGCTCTAAGAATCAAATCTCTTTTTCGGGATTTTTAGCGAAGTTAACATGCACAAATCGCATGACTTTGCTATTCTGGACAAAGAAACGGATGGGGGAGGCCAATATATCACCGATAAGTTCATAAACAAACAATTTAAAAAACTGCATACAGAAAAATGAAATACAATCACGAGCCAATATGAAGCTATCACTGGTCTTCGACTTCAATTGAACCAGAAGCGATGAGCGTATACATTTGAGTTAGCCGGTTGGATGATAGAGTCTGGGTGAAAACGTGAATTCGACGTAGTCTCCATTTTTGGCATCTTATCGTCTGTGAAAACAGCTCGCTATTTTAATACTATTTTCTCCAATTTCAGGAGTTCGCTTCATTGTTATTTTATTGCATGGCATGCCCGGCTAACCGCCTCGCGGTTAGCTCAATGGATAGAGCGCTGGACTGTTGTGCGGGAAGGGGAGGTCGAGGGTTCGAGCCCCGGCCGGACCAACACTCAAGGTCATAAAATAATTGAGAAGAATTTGCTACCTTTCTATAATATCAAGAAATGGTTAGATATTCTAGTCTTCTCGGATAGGGACGAATAAATGGAGGTCCCGTCTCCTGCAGGGCTAGGGTAGGAGACGTCAATTTCCCACACACGAGATTACTGTAATAAACCCACCCAACCCACCCCCTGAGGTGGGTTGGGTGGGTTTATTAGAGGGCCATGTCTTAGAAAACTCTTTACTGGGTTAATCATGTATCTACCCTCTCGAAATAAACAACATTGTATTGTATTGTATTGTATTGTATTGCCTTATCCATAAATTCAGGCACAGACACTATTTTTCATAAGGAATTTCCAACGAAGTCGTTACGACAGTACATGCTCTAAACATAACCTGAGATCAAAGCAGTAAATTTATTCATTTCCATGTAACTCAAAAACCCCATCATTTGTAAAAGAATTGACTTGATATATGCATGACATCTACAGAGGGGGTGTGAGAAGTGCTAAACCAATAATTAACGGTTGCAGAAGCCTCAATGCCCTTAACCGGTAACCGTAAAACGGCCAAAAATAGTAGCTGTTAGGAGTAAAACTGACAAATTTTTAACCTATAATTGTAAGAAAAGTTAACCGTAAAATATTTCTTTTAATCACAAAGGAAAGAAGTTAACCGGTAGTCGTAAAATGTAATTAAAATCAGAATTAATCGTTTCTAAAAGGATAGAATAGATATTTTATGTTTATATATTATATGATTTGGTTCTTTCGTCTTTTATATGAATAATGAAAATTGTAACAACTTACTTGATCAAATAAACTTTTACAAACCCGCGTACTCAATAGAATGACTGTGGGATGGAAAACCTAGGCATATCATCCTCTTTGAGAATTTTACATCACTGACTTCTTCGACTCATTTATCAAGTCAACAAAGAAACGGCGAGCCAGCCTGTAGTTTCGGCTCTGTTGGGTCGGAATCGAAGAGATTAATTTAGCTTCTAGAGTTAGGAGTGACCCAAGCACCGTATATATGTCACTGTTATGTTCAAACGTTTTCTTATCATGTGGTGCTCTCGTGGCCCGCTCGTGTGCATTGGTTTCATTAAATACTTGTTTACCCTATCTTTTCGATGTGTATGGCCATGCCGCATTTTTTTCTCAAAAAAAAAAAAAAAACCTGAAGACAATGATGTTGAGAAGAATTATTTGATTCATATGACTGACTTTAAAACTGCCCGTGGCTTTCACATCAATTATAAAGTCGTTCATGGTTTTTGAGAAGGAGTCATTTTATGACCACACCTCGCCAGACATGACTTCGATTACGACTTGAGCAACATCATCCACGCATATTGATACATCATGCAATTTTCTTCGTCTTCAAGATCATTTGCTAAGTTCTTTCCCTGCTGATAGAGTGCGTAGATACCGACAATTCCTTAATTCTTTCCACTCTTCATCAGTAGTGGCGACTTCGTGAAAGGCCGAACGTCCAGCATCCAGGTCAGTGTCAGACAGTTTCCACGCTCGTATCGAGTCGCTGATCTTTTTACCTCCTCTTTTCCGCTTAGAGGCGGCGTTTATATCTGGAAGAGAGGTTGTAACGCTGCCATGCTCAGGGCTTATCGATGATAACACACGGTGTCTGGAGCGAGGACTCAAGCTCAGCCCAGAGTGCCTGTCAGTGTCATCTGTTAGGTGAGGAAAAGAGGAAGATAAAAAAATTTGTCTCCCTCTGTTAACAGCAATTTCTTTCCTTCTCAGTTGAGGAGACAAATTTTGTCGCGTCAGATTTGGGTCACTTTTCCATTTGGTGACAGCTTGTTCTACGTTTAAACTGCGAGACGATAGTGGCCTCGTTTCACAAATCTTTGAACGCTGTTGTAAAAGATACCCTTTTGTTCTCTGGTATAATCTCTCTTCTGCCTTTCTTTGCTTTTGAAGCATTTGTGATTCTTTCTTCAGCGTTCCGTCATCGATTGCATTTCGAACACGTAGAAGTTTGACGGTGGACTTTGATAACAATGCCAGAGTTTCTTCATTGTGGCTAGATTTCATTTCCCAAGCTTAGTGTGGTTTTTCGTACTACACAAGATACCTTGATGAAGAATATGATCGGCGCATTTGACGAAAGCAAGTCTTCACATCAGAATTCGTCGCGTATAGGCGTCACGTTCAGCACTAGCTCGTTCAATGAAAACAATACAGAAGCGTCATCCGTGACGCCAATTCGTAAGTGCCACTGTTTAGTTTGTTATAGTAATACCACGCGAAACATCCAAAAAAGCAAAGAAACTTAAATATTTTCTTTCCCCGATATTTACTCTACATTGACAGTTGTGTGACAGGCGCTTCACATATACAAATTGATTCATTGTTTAGGACTTAGTAAAGCTTGCGTAAAAATTACAATAACCATGATTATCATCCTCACTTTCTTAGTGTTCTTTTTCCTGTTCTTCTTCTTCTTCTCTTGTATCGACTTTTTTATCTTCCTCTTTTATTCTTATTCTTAACCACGTTTTGCGAATTTTTTTTTTTTTTTTTCAGCATTAAACCGTATGTGTTTCCCGTGAGTTCCTCTCTAGCCAGTAATAAAAGCCGGCACTGCTTTCAAAAGCACCTTCGTCATTACTGGTTAAACCCTGGTGGTTGAAACCGCGAAACCTAGTCTTATATCTATACTCAGAGAGATGTGAGGTCCTCTCTTAGAACAAGAAAATGAGATCGAGATAACTCGTACTTCCGGTTCTTCATATTCCTTGTTTGTTTGAATAACAGTGTTTAATTTTGTTTTTATCGATCCACTTACTCAATAAAAACAAGTTAGCATCAAAACCGAATACGGTGGACCTGCTCCCCTATTTTTACTTGGTCTTTGTTGATAACAAGCACCTGTATAGAGCCCAAATACCAGTCTGTGCTAAGAAACCTAAAAAATCATTTGCTGGTAAACACATTGAACACTTCAGAGGTCAGATTGATAAAGCAAAAAGGTAGCGAGGACGGTTTAGTATGGCAATTTTTGAGCAAGAGTGTGATTGGACAAGCTTGAAATTTAGCCTAAATTTTATTACAATTTCTTGCTAAACGGTTAGCTGTTGGCTGCCAATAGAAAGTTAAAGATATTTCAGCTGTCATCGCCTTCAGCATTAAACCAAACTAGTATAATGTTGATCTTTTTGACAGATTTAAAATACGGAGATAATTTCAGACTGATAGAAAAGAACACCATCCTTCTTAGGATCACTAAATTCACTTCTCTCCACTGATAATTCAGTTTAGGTTTAGCTCAAAAAGTCGATTAATTCAAACAATTTCTCGAATCAAATTTAACGTGGACTTTTTGGTGATGTGTTAGGAATATCATGAGTGATTCTCTACCGTATGTGTCTATTGGCTTGCCATTGAATGTGACACCTTGACTGGACGCTATTTGTGCAAGAGTAACCAAAAACAACATAGCTTTAATTGTTCCACTCTTGACGTATCCATTGGAAAGGTATTGTTTAGGTGTGCATGTCATTAATTGAAGGAAAGTCACGCGAACCTCACTAAAATTCTATGAAAAAGAAAAAAACATAAAGAAAACAAAAGCTAGAGGGTACCAAGTACCCAAATATCTACACGGTCCCGGTAAACTGACAAGGCAGAACTTTTTCAACCCAAATGTCAAAAGATCATAGGTAAAAAGGGCGGTATGATCGCTAAACGCTTGTGATGTTTTGCACGCCGCATGAGTAGCTTATGTTAATCTAGTTATTATGCCTCTCCTTCTGACCTCTTTACGCCTTCAGTAGGAAATTCCAACTCGAAGAACGTGACTTGTGTGGTTTATTTCAGTCAGGGTCAGGAAAAGGTGGATTTAAACAGAGGATATAAACGTGACAGTATGGCGAGAATACAAAATGAATAAATTTCATATCTTTATTTGTTTTATTTGCACAATAATTTTCCTAAATTTTCTTTATACAAATATATAATTATTGCTTGATCAAGTAGGTGTTATCTTATAGTGAGAAAATTCACTTGTAAGCTCTCAATGCTTTCTCTATTTTTTTCGGGAAAAAAACTCGGAAAGTGAATCCTTTAAGGTCAGCATTGCCAGAAAACAAATAAACTGTTCTAGTTTGTTGACATCTCAGCGTGAGATTCCACGAGAGCTGGGATGGAGCCAGTATTTTAACCATTTGGACCATGTAGTTTGTGGCTTTTTTTCCAAATGTTCAGCTAATTGGTAAAACGTAGCAAAATAACAAACAGCGCGATAGAACTGAGCGGATGAGTGACAAAACGAAGGACGAGAAGGGTTTGGTTCGAGTCCCTTGTTTTTCGCCACAATCGCGCCGTTCGCTCACGCGCTACCTGTAACAGGCTCGTAGTTTGGGTAGGAAAACTACCCAGAAGCGTGCGAAGCATCCACAAAAAGTTTCAATTCTCACTAGTAAGCAATCAAATCAGATCACTGCTTGATGTGTTTCTTGCTGATTGGTGACACGCGGATCGTAGTTAAAAAATTTTTGCCTTTGATCTTGATTACCCGCGCAAATATCTAATCTTTTGCAAATCTTGCCAGTCGTCAATAACAGAAGATGAGACTTCAGTCTTCTTTTTTCCATAAGTAGAAATTGGCCACGGTCGGTTTACGTCACTGTATTTCTTTACTTTCGCTTTTCCTGAACCTCCGTGTATATCTGGAAGAGAAGTCGAAGTGCTTTCATACTGACCCAATGAAGAGAATGTTCCGCTCCTTCTTTTGGCTCCCTCGGAAAGTAAAGGAAGCCAGGGCGATAACAACTTTTTGTCAGTTATATCTTGCGTTCGAGATTCCTTGTCCAAGTCTGTGTCACTCTTCCACCGACTAACAGTAGTTTCTGGTGGAATTAAACTCCTAGAAGACAAAGGTCGTTGACTCGTGAGAGTCCCAGAGTTTCGAGTCACCTGTCGTTTTAAAAGAATCTCCTTTTTCTTGAGGAATAATCTCGCTTCTGAATTCTTCTCTTTCTCTAGCAGTCGAGCCCGTTTGTTAAACGCCTCTTGGTTGATAGCATTCTTCACAAGTAAAGATTTTGTGATGTTCTTTGACAAGAGAATGGAGGCGTCTTCGTCGTAACCATTTGAACTCATAGTAATTTAGCTGTTGGTGTATTTTTCTTATCTCTATCACTCTTATCGTCTTTACGCGCAATCGTCAAAAGGAAAGCAATCCATCAAAGGCCTTTGATTATGTTTTTGACTAAATACGGAAGCGACTGCTTGGTAATAAAAACAAAGTGACGATAAAAGAATTACATGGCGTGACGTCAGCATGTAGGTGTTGTCATTCCATTGCACTGATCACGATTTCAAACATAGTAGCGAAGTAAGCAAACTTGACAAGATTATTCACGTTTTGAAAACACCCTTCCTCAAAATTGAGCGTCATTGTCCAACTTTGAACTCCTAAACCTTTTTAGTCAGCGGGATAAATTTTCGTCCTGGAGGAAGAATTAAGGCACAAAAATAATTTATGAAGCATGTTGCTCGCAAACTTTATATTATCTGAAGTGAAGCTAAACAAATTGAAATCAAATAGTTTTAATAGTAAGCCACGTATAACAGGACTATCTACCTGCCCATGATAAAAGAAAAGGAGGCAATCGTATCCCTGTGATTCAACATAATTATAAAGATCTACGAAGATGCTCAGAACAACTCAAAAAATTCTACAGGAATCGTGTGATTTAGCAACCATGATATGTGTAAAGTGGAAAAAAAACTTCTCGCACGAGTTAACCAGAAGAAATTTCTCGCCCTGCTCGTTGCCGACCGATGTCAACGTGAAGTTAGGTGGTGGTGATAACACCGCGAGGGGGTGGAAAGATAAACAAATACTGAAAACTGCACAAAAATAAGAATTTTACGTTAGAGAAAATAAACAGGAATAAACAAATACAACCTACACTTTTCCAACGTCACGGTCATTTGAACATATTGGACATTTCATGGGTTACTCAGGGTCACTCAGGGTACACCGTTTTCCCAAAGAAGAAATGTACGTTGAACTTTGTTGTACCGTCCATGAATAACTACTTTAAAAATTTACAGCTTGGCCTTTTGTTTAACGAGATTCGAAGTGATTAGTTTATTTGTTGTCTAGCATTTCATTGTTTGAGCAACCCAGCATTAATAACATTGTTCTGCTTATAATAACACTGCTAATTTCTCTGGGGTCACGTACGTACCGTAAACAAGTCAGAAAAAAATGTTATGGTTTCTCTAAGCCGTAGTGGTTAGGACCAGTCAACCAGTCATCTAATCATACTTTCTCGCCCAATTGGTGCGGAGGGGGGGGGGAAGGGAAGGATTTTGGGAGGATCACGTGGTTTTCAGAGGAAACGGAAAGGGGATGAGTCATTGTTAGCAGGGTATAAAAGAGATGCTGTGGAAAATTGACTGCGAATGTCAAGACATAACATTTTGGATGGGATCTATACCATATTATACCAAGTAAGATTGCTTTACGAATTCAATTATTCTGAAATTTACAAATACCATTTCATGAGTTAAAGTTATGTGTTTGTTATCTGTATTATTGGGGCTTTCCCCAGTCAAGATGTTCCTTGGAATTTATTTTACTCATATAGACGTTTGCGGTCTTCCCAGCTGCACAGCATCTATCATAGGACAGGGGCGAGGGGGAGGAAACTTGGATTGATAGCGGATGCGTTTGTTGTGTTTATTCTTGCCAGTTTTGTAGTCGAAGTCTGTTTATTAAACTCTCAACGCACATAGACCTTCCAGAAATCGCCAGTAGAAGCCTCACCGACTTTCAAATCATCGCATTCAAAGCGGCCAAAATCGGGAGCGACAAACCAGTGATACTTATACCAGACGAGAAATACCAAATTTTGCAGTCTCGTTTCATTTGTTTCTACCTCCACCGAGCCCCATTTATTTAACCCTTTACCCCACTTTTGGCAGACTCCAGTTGCCTTCGATTTATCATCTTCCATCCTTACAAACGAGCCACAGGCGTCTGGTTTCTTATCTTTTTGACCGCTGAAATACTGGACCACGGCTTCACCAGTGCTGTTGGCTGCTGTGGTCACGTGAAACGTACGTCCAGGATCCTGTTTTTTACAATGGAATCTTAACTGTGTGAACAGCAAATTGGATCTGAGTTCCCTCATCGCAGTTTGGCTAAGTATAATGTTGTTCCTTTGATAATCGCTGACTGCGCGGTAGGACCACAGTAGCAAGGGTTGAATGGGCACAGATGTGTTGTCTTTGACAACGTTCGCAACAAGAAGCCAGCCTCCTGAAAACCAAGAAGGATTTTTTGTCACAAGCTTATTTTATCAGTGAACCCTTAAAATCATTATTCCGACCGAGAATATCTTAATTAAACAACAGTGTCCCCAAAAAATTTTTTTCACTTGCTAAAGAAAAGCCATAACATTTTGCTTAAAAGTGGTATTACTATGAAATGAAGTTTCTTTTTTAAGTTGACTGTAAATTTAAAAAAAAAATCGAGAGAATTATGTTTAAGGTTGTTTAAGAAATGCCCCCTCCTTTATTTTTTCACCTCCATCAGTTGTCATTTCACAGTAGACTTTGAATGGGTTTCCACTTTTCTCAGGGTCGATCCAGTATTCCCCGTCCCCTTTGGACTCTCCAATGTCCCGGATGTTCTTGCATGAATTGGCAGGATAATAAGAATGCCAGCCTATTCCTTTGAAATTAATAGGAAAAAAGTCATTTCATTTTTCAACCTTTATTACAAAAATTAATAGACAGAATCAATAGACAGAATTAAATGGGTATGTTCGAGTTGTTTCAGTTTCCTACGAGAGATTAGTTTATTAAAACAAAACTAGCCCTTACAAAAATGTGAAGATTATCCTTGCCACGCTCGAATAAAAATAGTTCTTACCGATTTTGTTTTCACATATTTCTCCCGTCCAAAGCGGTTTACAAGAGCATGAAAATGAGTTTTCCTTTTGGTCAGACAGGCCGGAGCCCCCATTGAGACAGCCGGCCGACAAACGTCCCTGAAAATATACGATCATGACAAATTTCCTAAGAAACTGTTTGATGCAGATGCAGTGCACAACTAAATAGCGACCTCTTAAATACCCATTACTTAAAAATGCGTCTTACAAATGTTTTACTCCTCCCCGTAGAAGAGGCTAGGACAAAACAGAAAAACTACAAAATGATATTGACAAAAACAGACAGCAAGTTATGTGAGTACTATTACAGAGGGTAGCGAGGCGGGAGAGAGTGGGGCTGGTTCATAAAATCACGAAACACGCGCGACGTTTTGGTGATCTTTGTAATCTGATCGGCTCTCATTGGTGCGATTTATTTACGAATCGCACCACTTTTTGTTCTAAATTACGTCTTTTTCCCAGTCGAAGAGGAAGTTTTACTAAAATAAAACAACCAATTGCTTGTTTAAGGAAACCAATGAAATCTCAGGATGAAATAAGAGACAGCTTTCGCAACTTCCTACAAACCAGTCCACTACTCGGACAACAAGAAATTTGTACAGACAAAAGAATTCTGCATTCGAGGAACTGAATTTTGCACTTTCAAAATGTTGTGTCGTGCAATTTTGGTCTGAAATCATACTTGTGATTTCAAAACCAATCTCGTGCTGTGCACTCGTTTGGTTTTAAAATCATACCCATTATTTCAGACCAAACTGCACTCCACTCAGTTCAATTAGCATTATTAAAAACACGTCACGCACAGATCCTTTTCTTCCCTCATTAACGTTTTAATAAAGGTCAGTTATGAATAATTAGAGTTTTGTATGGCTTGAAATCAACGGAATATCGGAATAACCCTTCCAGTCAAACATGTGTTTTAGGGATTTCCCTTTTTTATCCGACCAAGAGATCATGATTTCTTGATATGACACGAGATCGAACATTACTTTGAAATTCTTTTTGTCTCTTGAGTCTTGAACTTATAGAAATAATTACCTTCAACATCAGAGAGAAAGTTGCTCCTTCTTGATCATGAAAGTCATCACTATTTTCGTCTATAGCTTCGTGCTTGTTTAATTCACAAGTTCCTCTGCCGTTCATCTTGGGTGATATTTGGAAGTTTGTTGAGGTGCACCATGAATTTCTCAGGCAAAACTGGCCACAGGAAGTTATACTTGAAGAGTCAACTCGTTTGATAACTTGAACTGTAAGTCGTGTGTTTTCTCGCGTTGTAAAGTATGCTGAGCGAGAGAATCCTGTCACGACTACAAAGGGTTGGAGTATAGTAAACAAAATCACCTGTAACCCGTTCATCGTAAATACATCGAAATAAAACTGAATGAGTATTTGCCGCGAGGAAACACGACTCACACTGTTTGCCAGTAGGTTCACAGCAATAACTAATCTCACGGTGATCTTGGATAACATATTCATAACTTTAGCACCCGTCGTGAATCAGTCAAGGTACTAATTAGAAAGAAACCTGTCTATAGCAATTAAATGCAGAATTTTAGATGATTATTCAAATGTCTTAAGATCACAAAATTTGGGGTCTGTTCCCTCAATCTTTGTGATTCTTCAGGCTCATTCTAAAGGGAACTAACTGAAAACATCAATGATTCTTAACTAAAATTGGGGAAAAAGCATCGTTATATAGGCAAACGTGTACCTCCATATAATGCATAAAGGGGTGATTTTAGGACAACAAAAGCTGATGCAAAGTGAACTCCGATCGATCCAGTTCCTACATGTCTCCTGAATAGAAGTTTCAATAAATTGTGCAATGAATAGAAAGTCACAATTTCTGTTAAGTCTAAATCACATGCAGTTTATCATTTGATTAGATTTATTCCTTTATTTCCTCTATTTGGTGTCATAATGACGCCAAAACCAAGATTAGAAACAAACAAGAAAAAATAAAGGACATAATTTTCTCTTGATACAAAATATCAAAGCGATTGTTAATGGAAACTGAAATTATGAGAAAATTTTTGGCACTAAATCAACATATTAAACACGCTTCGTAACCTTGGTAATTAACTCTCTTTGATTGTCTTACAAATTCATATGTGCTGTATATCCGCAAATGCATTTGTTTTTGAAAGTGGAAACTCACCTGTTCTTTAATCAACACTCCAAGATTTATTGGTTTTCTCCAAGCTTCAATTTTACAAGCTGCAATTTCTCACTTAAAGCTCCGAACTCCACAACCAAGAAAGAGTAAATTCCAAACAGGTTCAGTTTCTCTCGACAAAGTGTATTTTATAAATGTAGTAAATCTTGCTTCTTTCTTCCTTCAACACTGAACGAATCAAAAGTTTTATCACATGAGGGCATTTTACAGCAACCAATAGAACTAAAAATCGAGAATGAAAGACGGATTTCTCGTGGCATGCATTTTATGATGGCCCATGGAAGCTAAGAAGTTCTCTAATTTTTATCTGTCCTTACGTTCACTTCGTTTCAAGTCTAGTAATGTAAATGCAACTTATTGCCGAGTTAATTTCACACCCTGACGCATGAAGCCGGTAAAAGTCGAGCTCTGCTCCACCAGGCTGCTTCTCCATCGCCCCACAGGCAAAGTCGATCCAAATTGAACATGTCTTTGACTTGACATACCGCAAGGACCTCTTTACCTAGCGTCTTACACAAAAGTAACTCGAGATCCATTTATTCAACATTGATGTGAGAATCATATTTCAATTGAGAATGTAAATTGGCCACCGTAAAGAGATTGTAAAGTTGAAGGATCCATATTACAACATTTACGTTTTGTCCGTCAATTTGAGGTTTGTGCCGGTTTAAAATGGGGATACATGAATAGGGAGAGAAAATTTCATTCATCCCGCTACTCTGGAGATTCGAGTAGACTTTGCTTTTGAATACTTTTAGTTTGTCAGATTTTGATGCAATTTACCAAAGAGAAGCATTAGAGATCAACCGGAAAAGTAAGATTGGGGTCTTTGAAGTTCAAAACGTTTACACCGTGAATGCTCATTTACTTTGTTGTGACATAAGTAGTTCAGCGGTAGCAAACTGTTTCGCTTTCCATAATTCACAGGTGGCCCAAGCTCTGTCACAGGCTCTTTCACTGTGGATTATTAAAGAGTTTGTATAGTGGTTTAGTTGGACTTGCTTTTAAGCTCCGTAAATGTAAAGTTGTGTGAAATAATCAAAGAAATAGTCTTACCTTTTTAGAGAGTAGTCTGCGTTGTTCTCCTCGCGATTTGAGGTCGTTTTGATGTGTTTTAGCGTGACGCCCTAATCACCACCTAGTCACGTGCACAAGATACGGAAAGGGAGAAAACTTCTGTTGACACATGCTCGCCGAAATCGCTCGAAAACAGCACTTAAATGCTTTTCCTCGAATCAAAACTTCGCAGCACGAAAGCCAAATAGTTTCCCTTTAAGTTCATCGAAAAAAATCCCACAAAAGTTGGTTTGTCGGGCATAGAGTATCTACGTGACAACCTGAACGCGTCCAGCGTGTTTTGTATTCTGCCCCGCGCACAGAAATTTGAAGATAACGACTTGAAGATCGATGCTGGAAAGTGATTGAAGAGCAGACAGACAAAGCTATTTCGTCAGATGAATTTGTTACAGTTGAGCGATCTGTAGTTGAATCTGTCGTGAAGAGAGAAGAGTTGAACGTAAAGGAAGGAAACTGTTCAAAGCTGTGGATCGCTGGGCACAAAAGAATGTGAAAGACAAGGGATGACTTCCAGTGGAAAGATAAAGAGACGAATTCTCGGAGAAGATATTCTTCACGGTATACGATTTCCACTGATGGAAGAGAAAGATTTTGCATCTGTCGTTTTTGATTCTCATCTTTTGAATCATGAAGAGTTCGGAGACATGATAAAACACTACAACGTTTTGAATACTCCTTTACCGTTCGTACAAGCTTGTAGAGTTTCCCGCCCCAAGCAACGATGTCTTAGATTTAAGAGGCATGTCCAAAGTAGGGACTGGAGTTACAATGGTATCCCTGACTGTATCATTCTCACTGTCAAAAAGTATATCGAGTTACACGGAGTTCGACATTTTGGTTCCAGAGGCGGGAAGTATATAGTTGAGACAGGCATTATTGATCTTACTGACAACGGTTTGCTTGTGAGTCGAGCAGGAAATCATGCCTCAGAGGAAATCTATCCTTGTATTTACGGCTTTGATGTGTTGTCGATCGTGCAATTATCTTGAAGGCAAATCAAGAATACAAGGTAAAGTCAGTAATCAAGGGTCCTAACTCGTTGTACGGTACAAAAGGGAAAACAACGGTGTAGTCCCAGGGAGTACAATTTACGTTTCGTAGTCCGGTGGATAGCCCGATTTATAAGACCAATTCAAAACAAGGACAGTTTCCTGGAATTTTGTTTTCAGTTTTCGGGTAAAAAAATCTGATAAAGTTAGCAGATCCGTTCCTGTTCACGTGGAACCCAGCCTTTTCCTATTAGGTCAATTGGTGTTGGATTAATCTTCCCGGATGACCAGGTGGGAATCCTCGTACAAACACTAATGGATATAAAACCAAAATTGAAATAACTAAGAGTGACCTATCAAAGTTGACCCAGAACATTTATTAGATGGGATTCTCATGAGTCAGTTGGAGCACGCTATGTACGAAGAATAACGCAACATAAATTTCTGGTAGCTGAATGTTGTTTTATTCAGTAGATTAAATATCCTCTATGCCTGTTTTTTGCATGCTTGTAAATTTAAAAGTTCGAAGTAAAAATTTAAAGAAAAAATGATAGAAATTCGCTGTAAGGCTCAAAAGGAATTTCAACAACAAAAAAAAATAACCGGTAAGCTTCTAAACTAGTAAACCAAGGATCCTCTCCATAAAAAGAAACAAAACTAACAAGCTCTTTCAATTTCCGTTATCTTTTCTGTTAAAATACCACTTTTTTTCCATTGAATTGTTAACCTGACATATTCCTACAAAGAAGTTATTGACCACTGTCGAAGTACATCAAAAGGAGCAAACTGAAAGCAGGTTGATACCCTGTAAAGCCAGGTAATTATGAACTTGACGGTAACGTTCTATCTCTGTTATTCAGACTGTAAAACAAAACCGCCGCAGCCACCCTACTCCTGGTCTCCATCAATTCCAGATCGTGCGCCCACTCTACACTACCCCAGCGGCTTATCTGCAGTAAACAAAAAAATGTGTAATTACCTGCACGTCTCACTGATTCCAAAACTTAAAATAAAAGAAAATAGGGACCTTAAGCAACCACGACTGCAACGGCAACGAGGACGTGGAAAAACAGGAGATCTAATTGGCAGAAAAATAGCTCAGCACGTGCGTTTTGAAACTTTGTACATTTCTTAGCCGTCCTATGCAAAACAACAACGTGAAATCGCCAAAATTTGCGTCGTTTGCGAACCGAAACCACGACGGCTAATTAATTTAACGCTACTTCTGTACGTCATGCTGAAGTTGAGCTGTGGCGCTGTATGAGACAGTAAGCTCGTGCAGCCATTTTTGAAATTTTGACTAAGAGTAGAAATTCATTTTTTAATCGAAATCTTCCTTGGCGTTGCTGTCCTGACTGCTTAAGATCCCTATTAATCGAGGGCGAAGGCGATACGATGTTTTCCCAAACTGCTACATGGATCTTTCAACGACTGCGCCAGACGCTCAATTTGTAGAAACAAAGTTAATCCAGACACACACAGTGAGCCTCCTCAAATAGGTAAATATGTTTGTGTCGCACGAAAGGTTCCCCCCCCCCCAAAAAAAAAAAACCAAGCCTTACCTCGCTCTTACGTCTGTTCCTTTGAATCTTTCGACTTTCTAAGCTGATTTAAGACCGTTAAGCACATTTTTTTTCAGTTCCCCTGTTCTGCCCTTTTTATAAAGGAGGAGGTTCATTGCGCGAACTTGGGTTAGAAATTTAGAAACGAAAGTAAAAGCGGGCGCGCGAAAAATGGCGAGGTCAGTCAAGGTTCCTTGACAACCGCCGTTTTCTTGCTCACGCGCCCGTACATTTCATTACCTCACACCTTATCACAGTCTTAAGCATAAGTTATTTTTCCTACCAAATGTGCACTACTTCCTGTTTTTTAATGAGTAAATACGATTGATTTAAACAACACGAGTGAGCAGTCCATTCCAGCAATCATGCGGTAACGAATTATGGTGAAACAACAGACCTGAAATTCCAGCTCTAATCTGGATAAATTAACAGCTTTTTCCACTGTGAGGTGATTTTCGATGAGTGCCATTGTAAGAATAAACGACTTTAGTGTTTCTACAGAAAACTCGAGGCCTGTGGAAGAAAGAGGACAATTTTTATGATAATATTCAACAGAGCGTGCGTGAGATTTCCCTCTAGATCTCCATCTGAAACTTGTTTCTTAACAAGTTGCAAAACTTTAAGAGAGTATGAAAACTATTACACAGCCCATGAATATCCCCGCCAATGTCTGGATGACTACGAGTTAGAATTTGATTGTTCTGGCGCAAGTACTGGTACCCGTGGTCCTGAAAGGACTGTTTTTGGGGCGTACCCAGTCACTTCGCCGACAACCAACTTCCCGACACCATTAGTCAACTCGAGACACCTTTGGTCAACACACCTACAGTCATCTACGCCCAGCTTGCCGACAAAACTGCTATCTTTACCGACTTCCTTGATCACTTCGCTGACATACTTACCCATTAGGGACCAGCTGTCAAGTGGTGTCAGATGAGCCTTCAGTCTTTCCTCAGCATCATCTGGTATGGCTACTGCAAGAAGACCATGACTTGGTTTAACAGGCACTGAATACCTTCAAAGGTGATGATGAATAAATATATATTAAATTAAAATACATTTAAAGGTAATTAACAAGTAACCGATCAAAGAAACACCATAAATGATATGACCATGTAGTGTGAATGTCTGAAAAAGTATAGCCCTGAAAGTCTCTAATATCATAAACAGTGAGTGACTTTTGTACTGGCTGGGCACAAGACATCCTTAGCCACAGTTAAGTAAAAAATTCATTCTTCTGATCAAATTTTAACTTTGAAGCTCACTCAACTCTAATGATGCCCTCCCCTTTGATTGTCAAATTATCAGTCACTGTCAAAAATGCAGTCCTTTAAAAGGCCTACTCTGCAGCAAATGATTCCACATGATTGGCTAATTAACAGAGACTACCCCATCAGACAGTTTGTAATTACTGATATCTAAGATGATGAAGCCATAAATAACTGCAAAATTTGTGTTACTTTTTGTTGAACCATTCCATGATAGGTATCCATTCTTTTTTCTGTAGATCTACTAACTCTTCAGGTTCATCCCCAAAAAAACTGCAGGGTTTAAAAGAATACATGTGATTAACCCCTTTATACCCAACATCAGTATGCATATTCTCCATACTGTTCTCTATACATTTCCTAGAGTGCTGACAAGAAGAATTTGTTTAATAATCAAGAGCATCTTTAGTTGGTGATCATTTCCTTTATTCTCGTGACCTTAAAGTGTGATTCAGGGGTGATATCGTTAGTAGAAATTAGATGCTAGTCACTCTAAACATTAGTGATTCTAAATGACAGCCAATAGTTGTAATAAACCATAACACTATTTAATTGATGGATTTATAAATACTAATTCAGACTAAAAAACATCAATATGGTGGCGATAACAATAACTGCTTTCAGTTAAAAGTACGATAGTAAGCTAATATTGTAGAGACTATTACAACATACCAAATACTGTCTGAGCTCAAAAATTCTAAAATATGAGAGACTTGCTGATCATGATTTCTTGTCCGTGGATTGTCAATCACAGTGTTGCTGAGAGAAGTCTGTGAAAAAAACAAAATGACCAAACTCTAATTAAAAGTATATTATTGAAAATATTTCAAGTGATTAATTAATGATGGCTTCCTTTGTATACTAGCCTCTAACAGCTAATGTGTTAGTCAAGTTATTATTACTAATAACAAGGTTTCCAATCAGCCACAACAATAAAATATTGCTCAAAGTGTTAAAAGCTGTTTAATTACCAGATGCATATTTGCTGGTTTGATGGTGTCAACCTGAGAATTCCACTCTACAGAAACTGCCATGGCTAGAGGTTTGCTTGGAACAACAAGAAGATTTCCCGCTGGTGTTTTAACCTTTTTGTTGTCCACTGTGATCTGATAACCACCTTTAGAGATATAATTATGTCTTTTAAATTCAGATAGATGGGTGTTAAATGTCAAGAAGACATTGCTTGCTGGCAGTCTAACATGTACTCAAAGCCACACCAATGTTATTTTGTAATTTTCTCAAATTTACAATTACATTTTATCAGCTGAAACAATATCTAACACAATGATGCATTAAAAAAATTACATATAGGGGTACCCAGTGTTCCTTTTGTTTCTGGTATGATTTCTGGACAGTTCGAGACCTAGTAATTATGATGCTAAGCCTCAATTTTGTTGCAGAGGTTTTGGAAACAAGATCCACTATGGCTTTAGTCAATCAAAAGAGCACAGTTGAAATGTAAAATGCATTGGAAACAAGACACAAAATGTGACCAAAAGAAAAAGATAATTTATTAAAAACTGGATCATTGGATAATGCAATTCAAGACTTTTTATTGGCTTAGCCATTATGGTATATGAGCCAATATACCATAATCTAATATCTGTACATTGTAACATCCAGTTTCTTCTTACAAAATAAAGTCGAGAAGATTTGTCTAATATCTTGGGGGCGTTTTTTTAATAAAACAATGATTCCACTCTCGCTTGTTGGATATGAGATGATTATAGCCAACNGGATTGGGGAGGGGAGGGGGGCAGTGAACCATTGATGACCAATTACATGTTTTAAATGATTCGTTTCTTGCAAAACGAACCAAAAACATGCTCCACTGATTCAAGTCTAGGAAAACTTTGCAACACTTTAGATGCAGGAGCATATGCCTCTGTTGTCAAAAAGCCTGTGGATTGCTTGCACGCGCTGGAATCAACAATACCTTGTCACTTGGGACAATCTCATGTTCATGTTTCTGAACACGGCCTGGAACTACCTCATTTCTACAAAAGCCGACCGTTGAAACAGCCGCACGCGATTATGCGCGCTCACCTCGAAAAGAAGACAAGTTTCTTTTGACTGTTCTTGCGAGTATCGTCGAATTGCATCGTTGGGATGTAGAAATCTGACTATCGAGCAATAAAATTTGTTTTATAATAGGAGAGACTCCGAATCTGAAAATCCTAGGCATAATTATAGTAACTGGATCCACAAAAATCAGACATTAGATATTCCGAGATGTTCGTCCGCCATCTTGTTCTGGCTAAGAAGCCAAGCCTCAAATTTGCCCAGACCTCTTAAATAAACTCGCGGGAAACTTGCGCGAAGAATGCATGTAGGGTTGCAAATAGTGCACACGGTACGACTGATCAATATGGCATAAGATCTGTAGGTTGACGATAATAGAGACAGCAGATAGGTTGTAAAATCTTTTAAACGAAGCTGAACGCAGAGCCTTTCTTGACGAAAACTCCTTTAGGAACAGATGTTTTTCTTAGCTTGTGTAATGATCACATTCCATTATGTATAATCGTTCCTTCTCATTTTAATAAATAGTGATAAAAAAGGAGGTAAAGCATGAAAATGTGAGAATTAAAAGGACAGTTTTAGATAACATGTTTTGCTAGAAACTTCCCTCTCATTTCCTTTGAAATCTTGTCGTAAATCTTATGATTTTATCCTTTACCTGTGATTTCGCCTGTTAGGCTCGCGTCTGTTGAGTCCTATTTTTTCTGTTTTTAATTACGAATTCATCACCAAAATGAGTCTTATTTGCGCGATGGTAAAAACCCCTTTTTAACATCAAAGATTCAGACTCATCGTTTAAGGCAGAGGCGCTCGGTATCTCCAACATATCATACTCTTCTCGAAACGACGGAGAGTATTACAGTTATAGTATCATAGTTAGTGAAAATTCTCGCATTCTTAATGCAGTTACTGACAGCAATAAATATATGAAACACACCATTTAATTGTGAGAGGTCTTCATTTAATTTCAAAAATAATTTTGAAGTGATGGACATCATATACATGCAACACAGAACAATTGTACATAAAAATCGTAAATGAAATTCTTTCCCAAGTTTTGATGGTTACACCGTAACCTTTATTTGCGTCAAAATATACAAATAGTTTTATTTTGAACTATTTTATACAACTAATGTGAACGCACGTAAAAACGCGTAGTGTAAGAATAATTTAAAAAAGAGAACGAATAGAAAATTTGAACAAAATATTGCTATTTGATACAACATCATAATAAACTAAAACGAATTTAAAATCTCTTCTAGGGAGGTAGCTTTTGTTATCTCTTCGACTGCAACGAATGATTCTTTTTATCATTAACGTCTCCTGACTTCGGACACCAGCCTGTCTCAGGATAAAGTAGGCAATGGATTGATTTAAACCTGAAAGGAAACAAGGAAGAAGTAAGAAAAGTTACAGACAGCACATACGTTATAAAAATGTTAACCTGTGGATAATAACAGAAACAACATGATCCTTTATTTTGCTCTGTGTTTGGTCAAGAAAACTCGCGCCATTCTCTCGACCAATCAAATGCAAAAGCACACGATTTGGTCACCAGCGTTTTCCCGCGCTTTGGGGGTTTTGTCTTTGCGTTCTTATTGGCTCTTTGGGGAATATTCCTGTCTTCTGATTGGCCGTTTTGATACTTTTGGTTTTGGTTTTTCAGTCCAAAAGCGCTCTTATAATTATCAAAGTAGCAGCAAATCGTACCGCGTTGGGTCCTGTTCCTGGTCAAAAGGTCCAGCTATATTGACTCGATTGTATCTGCCACCGATATAACCATGACTAAAACTAATCTGAAAAGACAAATAAAGAAAATTAAACTAAAAAAAACAACATTGAAAAAAAAAAAGCTGATTTTAGCTCAATAACTGAAAATCATGTTAACGGTTCTTGATTTTGCTCAACCAAGAAACTCTTTTCTTGATAATTACAAATACTTTACCTGTTCCTTAATTTCGCTTTGTTGTATGCTTGGAAGATTTTCAAGGTGAGAATGAAAAAGATCCAGTCTTGTCAAACTCACGTTAAGAAGAGATTCTGCAAGAGAGAAAGACATCGATACTTCATTAGTGACTGCTCCGAAGCAGTTGTGAAAAAGAAATATTGATCACGAAAGGAAAAATAAGTTATTGTTACTGTAAGTGTTGCATGATGATGATGATGATGAAAATATTTTCCTTGCAGTAGCTTACAAATTTAACCCGTTTTGTTTGGGTCATGCACAGCCTGTCTGACAATTTTTCCCTGGCTACAAATATGTTCCAGAACCCTGGAAACCACGTCTTAGAGAGACCATGCCCCGGACCCCCTTGGAAGGGCCTATTACTTTGTAACAACATGCTTGCCACGTTGGTATAATTCAATTTTGTTGCCTACTCAGTTGACGCCATACAGCTATTAAATTTTCTAATGACTACCCTAATTGTACCAACCTGCAACTAACAAAACCTAGAATTCTTTTCTCTCACTCACCACTAATAAATCCAATGGTGCAGTCATCTGGAACTTTAATCCGCTCACAGCTCTCTGCAAACTTGCCATCACTAGACAGACACAAACTCAGAGTCAAGACGGTATGAAAGGTGACAGTAACGATGACATAAACCTAACAACAACTTTCACAGACGGTTGAATCGTTGCACTGCGTTGATAGGCAATACCTCAGGCCTTTTTTTTCTCACAGTACCTATCTCCACCCCTACTAACAGTTTTAAAAGCCCCCCCCCCTGAACCGTTAGAGAGCACGACAAAATGCAGGGGGATGAACTAGGATGGATTAGCATACCTGATATGAGGGCTCATTCTCGCCACTAAGGCATGGCTCAAACAAAACCCTGCCCCACCAGTTGCAAACCAAAATTTCTTTCTCTGCAAATTAAAAGAAGAGCAAAAAGTTGATAAAAGAATACCGCGAAGACTCTATTGGCCGTGTATACAATACATCATGACTTTATTAGTAGAATTCATTTTTTTAGCATTATTTATACTTACGTTATATCCATCTAATCTATCCCAGGCCTGAAATAAAAGAAAAAACAGGCGTTGTATATCACGTTCTATCATGAAGAACAAAGAACGCTGAGGACGATTCAAATTCACGAAACGAAGGGTACACAAGTCTGCAAGACAATATGGACTGGGATCCATATTCGAAAGCCACAGTGATTATATACTAAACATGCAACAGCAGCATTATCTCATCATCGCCATCAATACCTCCATCGCTTTCGTCAGACTTGGTCTCCCAAGGTACACATCCTCGAGCGGGTTGAAATTTTTTAGTGTTTTCACCAGTGTATGGACATTGACGTAGTTATCGTCGTCAAAATGGCAGAACCACCTTTCGAAAAAAAAAAAGAAACAGTTAACAGTACGTCTAGAGATGATACAGTGACAAACGCTTACAAAAAAATCTTCATGTCTTCCCTGACGCGAGCTTACAAATTTTAAAACGTCTGCACGTGTCGGTCAGTTCGGTTTTCTTCTTGTAAAAAAAAACCCTCAATGAAGCGAAGATGATCGATTTGAAGACAAAAGGAGATAGTCAAAGAATCTGATTGTGGGGGGTCAAGGGTAACAGCTGCGGGTCGTGGTTCATTTGACACAACTTATGGTTAAAAGTTCAAGCTGGTTTCATCTCTTTAATCAACACCGGTGACCTAAGCTGGCACACTGGGCCTCCGTAGGAATGTTACTATCCGGCCCAATGTCGCGCGGTCAGCGAAATACGAGGATTAGTTTATTTAGGATTGAATGGCCACTATGAATGAACATCTAGAAGTTCTTTTTTTGGGGGGGGGAGGGGGAAGAAGGGGTGTGTGGAAGGGGGGAAAAATTCAGAGAATCGGGAAAATCCTCGCTAGTGGTTTCGGTGCAAATATGATTCTTACTTTGTGTTGAAGTTCTTAACAAAGAAATCGAGCTCGGCCTGCATCTTGCAACAAAGTTTTGCCCTAGGCAAGAGACAAAACAATAGTTTAAGATGTAACTGAGACTACAGTAAATCACTGAAACACACAAAAATAGAAGAACATCAAAAAATATTATTTGGTTCGCCATGACTATGGGAACATCACGTTGCCTCTTTTCAAATTACAGCTTAGAAGACGTCCTTGATAAGCACACACACACACACACACACACACACACACACACACACACACAAACAAAAACAAAAACAAACAAACAGTTTCTGATATCTCATAAAAGCAAGTTAGAACATCAAACTTGAGGATGATGTTGAGCAACTATGGAAAGTGGCATAGGATGATGTTGAGCAACTATGGAAAGTGGCATAGGTCTGCAATGTGTGCGAACTGTTGGAACAATGATGATGGCAAATGCTCAAGCTAATTGAGAGTACCTTTGGTGCCCTGTTTCACATGCAGTCTTGATAAGGTGGCCTCCTGTAGTGATCCAAAACGTGAATATTTACTAACTGACAAAAAACTTTGCAACAAACAACATCACATCACATTGTAACATTAGGAATAACAGTGTTAGCAATAAAAGTTAGCAACAATTTATATTTTTCTCTGCATAATTTCATAAAACTACTCCATAACTGAAATTGAACAAAAAATCCTTCATTCTGTAATTCTTCCCCTTTTTTTTTCAAGGCCAGAGTGCCCTGCTACTGTCAAAAGTCTTCTCCAAAAAGATCTATTTGTTGATACAGTTTACAACCATTAACACGAAAGCATTTCTGTTACTTTGAGTTCATCCACCCTTCTTACCTAAACTTTCATTTAATTTGCTGTCTTCACGATCTGTGAAAAAATGAACCTGTAAAATAACAAAAGAAACAAAGTTAAAAAAAAACTATTTAAACAATGTATGATGAAAATCTTATGCTCAACTTGAAAAATCAAGATCAGCAATGGTGGTTTGTACACCTTTGACAAGTTAAAGTGAAAACTCATTGATTGTTCTACAAAACCTTACAGAGTTTCACAACCTAAAAATTAAAATCCATACCCGGCAACCTCAAGACTAAAGAGCAATTTAATTTTTCAGGGCTCAACACTAACCATAGACAACTAGCCGCAGACTGGTAGAAATTCAGTTTTAGATAGTGGTTTTCCATTTCCAGCAGCCAGTTTGGTCAGTAAACAAACTGAAATTGTTGTGACATCTAAGTTGTCACTAGCCACTTAGCTAGTAGGTTGAAAAGTTAGTGTCAAGCCCTGTTAAAAGAATATACCCTTTCACACTACTATGAATAAATCATTGAGCAGAAGCCCTATAGAAGGACAAATTCCCCTGAGACCTTCACCCACCCTTATATTAGGTTCTCAAAACTTTGACTCATTTGCAAACTGAAATACACAGTAACAGTCTGAACGGATGCAAAAGGAAAGAAAGCAAAAAAAAGCCATGCTTAAAATCTCCAAGAAATGGTCAGCGAGAACTTCCAAAAATGTCAGTTACATTACAACTGTCTAACTCGTATACTCTATTCTTATCTCAATCTTAAAATTTTTATAAATACATAGAACTATTGGCAATTTTACAATAAAAAGCAGATTTAATCTTGATAATTTCAGTTAAATCAACAAGCCTTTAATATTTTAGTTACCCCTCTGTAACAGTTGTAAAAATCTGCATGTTAAGATTGTAGTTAAGACTGAACACTCTTGTTAAGTTGTTAATATTCTTCTGTAGAACCTGGATGCTCTTCTTGGTTGCTTTAATTTGATAAATTCTTGTTTAGCTTGTGCAGTTTCTAAGCAACCAAAACACTACCTATCAATTTTAACTTTTGGTGATTAAACCAGTTAAAGCAGGTTATGGCACTTACATATGTAAAGTTTGACTTATTAATCTATGAAGAAGATGGTGAATTATGTGTAAACTGCAAGAAAATTACTAAGGTCCCACAAATTTTCAGTAAATCATAGTTTCAATCCTAATTAGAAGAAAACTATTCTTACTTGGCATTATTCCATTCAGTTTAGATTCCGCAGTATAAAAATTAACCAGCAAAAAGATTTTGGTACATGCCAAACATTTGTTGTAATTTGGGTAGGTCTTTAATCTATTCTTTTTAATAGATGCAGCATAAGAAAAAAACTGTATTTATATTGAAATTCCCCTCCCCATTTATTTGGCATGTTTAGTTTCAAGATTTTGCAAGAGCTATTTTAATTAAAAACATATACTCTTTCAAAACATTCTCATTTTACATTTATCTGATTGCAATGGAGGGTCTGTCTGATAGATCTTTATCAATAATTAAACAAACTTGTAATTAACACCCCAAATAAAATGCCATTCAAAACCACATAATGAGTTTGAGAAAGGGTGACACCAAAGAAAATATTAATTAATTGACATCTATATGAAAAGCTTTTTTGCCCCTTATCTTCTACGAAATACTTTTAGCTTATAGGATTATTGGGACACCCTGTTTGAGAATGCAAGACATTATAAGCTGATATAGACAAGTTCCTTTAAAAACAAGGTTAAAAGCTTCATTTAGGAAATATAAAATAATTAATTCTAATGAATGTTGAAAGCTGCTCAAAACTGTTTTTCCACTTATCATAGACGCGTGATTTATTAAAAAAAATTCAATTAATATCGGCATGGTGACCCTTATGTTTGCAAGATGACCTCAAGATTAAATCGGTTTGTAGTTACTAGAGATTGTATTTCGTGTGCTAAATAAAATAGATTTGTTTTTTAACTTTGAACAAGAAAAGGTTTTCTCCGGGGTCACATCTACAAAACAAAAACGTACCTCTTCAAATGATGGGTATTTAGATAAGAATGGCTACTAGATTTTGATTGTTCGAGCGTAGACAGTATGTTCGACTAAGATAAGCTATTTTTTTTATCGTAGGTACCAATCAGGGCGGTTTAATAGATTTAGCAAATGAAATTAAATCGTAAATGGTAACATCAGTTGGCTTGCGAGGAAGGAAGAGTAATGTAATGCAGTTAGTACCCTCTTCCAATCTAATCTCACCTGTTTTTTAGCATTTTGAAACCATGTGTCAACCAAGAGTGTAACGCGCGCTTCGTGGTAATCACTTGTTGTCTTGATTGATATAAACACATCGTCTAGCTCTGTGAGGTTATGCGATTGTCTAAGATTTTCTGCTCTCAATTCGTGATCAAAAGTAGTCTTCTTTCTGACAGACTGATCAACAAATATTTCTTTTCCTTTGACTACTTGACGGCCGCTTATCGTTGTTGAAAGGTTAATAGATTGATTTCGTTCGTTGACACGCAAAGGGTTGTAAAGATTCCTTCCAGACATTCGCGGAAAATCTGTTGATTTAATTTCCTTAATTAACAAAGTTTCGGCATAATCTGTACCCTCGTCCTTCCCATGAGCATGCTCTAGTTTTGAACGTGCGATAAACATATTAATTTCTTCCAACTGATGGCCACCTTGACTCTGAAGTCGCAGACGTGAACGTATCTTTGTGTTTCTCTTTCTAGTCCTCGTCTGCTCGATTGGCGCGAAATTAAACTCTCCATGCAGGAAAAAGGCGAGCATTACTTGAGCAACGACAGCGAGAGCAACCCAGACAAGCAGTTTTCTGCATTTTCTTCGTGGAGGGAACATTTTCTTTCAATTAAACTTCAAACTTGAGCCCAGCAAATCCATCGCAGTCGCTGGCTTCAATTAAGCTGAATTGATAAGAAACGGATTGAGGTCCGCCAAAACCATTACAGACCCCATTGCTATGCTGTAGGCGCTAATTCTTGTTAAAACAAGTCAATTAATATCATCAAAACTTTCCTGAAGTCAAAGATCAAGAAAAACACCAGATGGTGAGGTTGATAACTTCAACGCGTAACACACGAAAATCAACACAGACCTGATTTCCCTTCCAGCGACACAAAATGTCTTTCAGGTCGTTAATTAATACTCGATAGACAGATATTTGATCTTAAGCGTCTTATTTTTCGCCTTATATCACATCAATCCATAGCAGATGTTTGAATTCTTTCCACGCATCGAAAATTCTATAGTAACAGGAAATTCGAAACTCGAATCACGCTCAGAAGTATTGTTCAACAAAGAACCGTCTTCTCAATGCAGATTTCTCTCTTTCGATGCAACTCCTTGCCCAGAGAGGTCGAAACGGTTTGAAATTTTACCGCGCTTTCTTGTCAATGAAATACTGAGGTCCACCAAGAAATAACAGGTGGCATAATTCTCCCCTCAATCTGTCACGAATATTCTTTCTCCGCGACAGCAATTTTCCACTAAGTAAAGGAGGGTAGGTCAGTTCAAAATTTTAACTCAAGACACGTATGATAAGAGAGTGAATGAACTAATTTCAAACCAAATTGAGGACAAAATATAGTTATGACCGTGATTCGAAATCACTTATTTTTCCAAAGCTAATTAAAAAAATGATTTTATATCTTGTGCTTGTGCTACCGTCCTCCCCTCCCCAATGTATGATTATTCGCCAGCGGTTCAAATTTCTCACACACGCGCCACATTACGATACACACGTGCCATTTTGTTCCTATCAAAGATGGAGAAAACCGAAGGTTTGAAGCGCGAGAATCGAAAAGAAAAGAAACAAAAAAAGAGGAAACAGGAAGACGTGGACTCCAATCAGGAGGAAGAAGACTTGCTCGGTATGATTGCACAAAATTTCCTACAAGATTTTCCACTATAGTACATTCACAATATAGCAAGTTTCATTTCTTTCTTTTTTTCACGTCTCGTCACATTTTATCAAAATTATACTTAAGTATAAGATTGTTTTACTATGTTCTTTTGGTACAATTTTTTTCAACTAGGTGATTTTTGTAGTGATGTTTCACCGGATATTTTATCGGCCATTCAAAGCATTTGCACTTGCCTCGGGATCGGTGGTCTCTATAACGCAAAGAAAAGGTAAATACCTACGACACTTCATCTAGACGATAAATGACAGAACTAACCTAGGAAGTGCATTACGAGGCACTTACGAAAGCTGTGTGGACGAGGGGCTGCCCCTGCCCTCCCGCGCTAAGCAGAAAATAATCCTTGGCTTAAATAGGTAACTTTATCAGTCTTGTCACACAACCTGTTCATGTTATGTCACGGTACAGGACAAGATCAGAACGAAGAATAAAAGCATGATGGTCTATTTAATCAGCAGCTCTGTAAATATTGACTCAAGTATAATGCATGGTGCATCTACAAATATTTGGCATGCATAAGATAATTGAACTTGTGAAGGATTAAACTGAAACAAAATGCCCCACTACTACTGGCTTCCTTAAACCAACAACTAACTAACAACATGGTACAATTTGCATTTCTGTGTAATGTGCGGAAATGTCTAAAAATTAAATATGCATTAGACAATTCTAAGGATCAAAGTTCTAGTCTAGCAGGGAATTTAAACCATTCTAATTATGTATTTAATCATCACATTCAGTTGGCAGTTTGGGCTGAGTACAACATTTAATACTGTGTTTTTGATTTCTCTTATTTTTAACAGAAAAGTAGAATCAAAAGGTGGTGTATTGGAAACACTTAAGGAAGGTATATCAAGTGCCACATCCCTGCTCAATGTATTCAAAAAAGACACAACGAATATATGAAATTCATATATCTGAACTGCAGTTATAGAAACGTATTTTTGCACGATCCTTGCAGTAAAGAGCACTATTTAAGCAATAGGGAAAATCAGACCTGAAAAAATTCAGGCCTGTACAGGATTTGAACCACTCACCTCTGCGATACTAGTGCAGCGCTCTACCAATTGAGCTAACAAGCCAACTGGGAGCAGGTCATCAAATTAGTCCAACATAAACCCATAAGATGATAAATCAAACACAGTGAAAGAGCCACCCACCCAGTGGAATGTCCATTGCTAAATTATTTATCTGTTTTTTTTTATTTATTTTATTTATATCTGAACTGCAGTTATAGAAATGTATTTGTGCACAATCCTTGCAGTAAAGAGCACTATTTAAGCAATAGGGAAAATCAGACATGAAAAAATTCAGGCCTGTACGGGATTCAAACCAGAGGTCAGTGGTTTGAATCCTGTACAGGCCTGAATTTTTTCAGGTCTGATTTTCGCTATTGCTTAAATGGTGCTCTTTACTGCAAGGATCGTGCACAAATACGTATTTAAAAGATAAAAAAAATCAAGCGGATAGGAGACTGTTTGGTGAAAGGGGAATCTCATGGTGCCTTTAACTTTTAACTCCCAAGATCTGATTGTTAATTCTCCCTCTACCTGCTTCACATTTCCTTGTAAAGTAGTTATGGGAATTTGATGTTTGATCAAGATAATAAATTTACCTGATGAGTCTGAGTATTCTCACTACCTGTTTACTAAATAATGTGTGGATATCATAGGGAGAAGTTACATGTTTATCACTTTTGGGAATAAAAGGCTTCAGAAATTTTTGTTGTCATAAAATTTAGGTCTGTTCTTGAAAACTCACCAAGCTCTGAAACGAGTGTCATTTATAGTGCATTTTGCATTAGTATGCCAGAAAGTTTGGTATTTGGTGCAATAGCCAAGGGTTTTAAGTGAAAATGTAGCAAGAGTCATAGCTTGGTGCCATCACTCTGATCACTACTGTATGAAATGTTTTTATCTGTAAAAGCTGTTGTATTGCAGCAACTCTAACACAACATTTCCTGATATAATGTTATGTTTAGTCCAGCCTTGAAATGTAAAGCAGAGTTTTTTGACATCTTACAAGTCCAAGATTTTTCCATTTATTACCCCAAGAAAACAAACCTTGGACTATGAGATGCAACCGGTTTTAGATATTCATAATAAGTAAATATTATATTTTATTTTTATCATTTGCAGAATGGAACCCCTCAGATGAAATCAAGGCACTGCCCTTCGAAATGAAACAGAGGTATACTTTGGGTATTTTCTCAATACCTTGCTCATTTGCAGGGGTTTCATTAAGAGCCGGGCACTAGGCAAATTGACCACTGGACAAATTGACCAAATTGTACGGTGGCCAATTTACCATCTCAACTTTGTTGATATATCCAAATTATCTAGTTGTAAGGACAATTTTGCCCACCTGGTTTGATGTATTTTTTTCCCACCTGTGAAAACCAGTTACCCTCCTGCTCAAGACATTAATAGAACCCCTGCATTTGCTCACTGCTAAATGATAAATTTTGGTTCACTCAGTCAATACTCAGATCTTTTACGTAAAATGACAATTAGAGAGTTATATTATTATTTAGGGGAAAATGTGTCTAAGTTTAATCTACAAACAGTGTGTTAAAAATGTGTAATCTTGTTTTTAATAACTTGTAACTTTTATTCTTTTCCTGTTTCTTTTTTGTCAACAGATATGCGAATAAAATATCAGAGGAATCCTTCAAACTCTTAGCATTGATAAAAAAAATTTCATTTTTATTCAAAAATCTTCATGAAGGTACTTTGCTTAATATACACATAACCCAACAGTAACTTCATGTATTCATAACTAATAATGGTGAATTAGACAGCTAGATCATGAGAGTAATCTCTGTGTTCAACTGTACTGCGACTTAGTTGAAATTTGCTGCTGCAAGGATAGAAATGATTGGTTAAATAACTTTGATTCAAGACAACAAGTAATAAGTTTTATTTGCCCTTATTGCTGGTTGATTTTGAAAAACATGTACCACAACTTTGTACTGTGATTTCTCTCTCTTAATCTGAGTTGAAAAACTAGATAAATGGGCATGGTGCAAACTAAAAGCTTTTTTTAAGGGGATCAACATATATTGTACCTACATGTACATGCAAGTCCAACTGTCATCTCTTGCTACATGTAGTAATGTGAAAACCAGTAGCCCTCCTGCTGAAAATGTTAATGAAACCCCTGCATTCTGCATTACTTACAGGGAGAAGTTATATGAAGGATATTACGATGGATGTCTTCCTCAAGGTTCAGTTATTGATTAAATATCAATTTTTGTTATTTAAAAACATCACGCAAATGATGTATCACAGAATCTGAATTAATATTAGATTGTTGGGATAAGTAATTTTTAGGCACACTTTAGCCCAAAGAATGTCTAGTGTCAAAGTTCTCCCTGCTATATCATTCCTGAATCATAAATTATTCAACTCAAGAGAATTAACGGAAATGATCACCATGTCAACTAAAGTAGCTCTTGATTGTTAAACAAATTCACCTTGTCAGCACCCAAGGAAATGTATAGAGAACAGTATAGAGAATATGCATACTGATGGTAGGGCGTAGAGGGTGAAAGGTAATTTCAATGGGTAAGAATGCTCTCTGGAATTACAAAACTTTGTCAATGTCACAATTTCTTATCAGGGAGGGTACCATTAGATGGTGGTTATAAAAATCATGGTTCTGGAGCAAAATTCTCCAACACTTTGACCCCAGTTACAGTAGGCTCACAATTAATAAACACTTCTTCATTAAACTGCACTGTCTTCTCGGATAGGGACAAATAAATGGAGGTCC